TGGCCAGAGGTTAGGGACTGAGCAGAGGGGGCAGTAGCCACAGAAGAGGAGCCACAAGGGAGCCTTGTGGACATGGAACAGTTCTGTGTCTTGACTGTGGTAGTGGTTACGTGAAGCTACACACACACACACACACACACACTCTCACACACACACGGTAGTGCCTTTAAAACTTGTGAAATCTGCATAAGCTCTGTGGATTGTACCAATGTCCATTTCCTAGTTTTGATATTGTACTATAATTATGCCAGAGGTTGCACTGGGGAAGGCTGGGGAGGGGGGCACAGAGCCTCCTGTACATTTCTTTGCAACCACCTATGAATCTATAGTTATTTCAAAATAGAAGGGTTTTGTCGTTGTTGTTTTAAATTGCCTTTCTAAGCCCACAAGCCCTGAGTGTTGACATTCTGGTTCTGGACCTCTTAGACCATGAGGGAAGAAAGAAGGGAAGAAGGAATTTATTTCCAGTTGAAGAAGGTTTTAACAGACGTGTGCTACACACCGACACACACACACACACACACACACACACGACCAGATGCAGCCCTTCATCCCTCTAGTATTTGAAGCACCGTATCTCCTGTGTCACCTGGTAGAGGGCATAAAGGCCAGCAGGAGCACACAGTGACAGTGACAGGGTGTCCTGCCCTAAGTGCCCGAGGAACACTGCTCCTTGAGAGTGACCTCCCTCTGTGCAGGCCCAGCCTCCGAGGAGAAGTGCCTGAGCCGACTGGGAAAGTGTCTCCACCTTCCACTGTAGCCTCTGGGCTTCCTAAAGCAAAGCAAAACCTGGAGTTTTCATTGGAAAGTCGGTCTATGTGCATGTCGTAAACATTCAGCTGTGACCAAGGGTGTGTCCTAAGTTCCCACCCCAGCCGGTGCCTCGGTTGCTCTGCCTGAGAACCTCCACTACTAGTTTGCTAACAGTTTGACAGAAGACCTCGATGCACAAGTGTGGAACGTGAGTCTTTTCGGACTGATGCTAGCATTCCGTACACACGTTTTCCTCTCTTCCCGTCCGTGGGAGGAGCAGTTCTGCAGCAGCAGTTGCAGACCCACCTCCTTCTTTGTCACCAGCTATATCGGTTCCCCATGTGAGTGTTCCATAAGTTATTAAACAGTCAACCACTGGTGGGCGTTTGGGTGATTTCCCTTCTTTTGCCCTTTTTTGTGCTGCTTTGAGATTAGCCCCTTGTCCAAAATACAAGTTATTTAAAATGTGGTGACAGGATCTTCATTTCTGTTTCCCTGGCCATTTTTATAGTTCTGCGGTGACTGTCCTGTCTTGATTTCTGCCTCTACCTCATGTGATCTCCGTGTCTTCCATCAGCACTTTAACGGTGAAGGTCACAGCAAGGTGACCCTTTCCCTCCCTGGGGCATTCTGAAGGAACTCGCAATCTTGAAGGATGAGTCTACTGCCACACATCCATTTTTCTTCATCAGATACAAGTGGCTGTAAAATATTGCAGCTGCAGTGTTTTGTGTACATATATGCTGTATTCATGAATTTCAACAAAACTTCAAATGTCGCAATCATGTACAAGTGTGTGTGTGAGTATGTGAGATAATCGTAGGGGAGAATAAGATATCTGCTGGTGTTCCGGTGGTATTTTATACATGAATGTGTGTGCTGTGTCAGTGTTGTTATTTCAAAATACTGTCAGCAGAACCCTTTCTGTGGGAAAAGGCTAAGAGAAGTGGTATCACTTCCTGTCCACTTCCTTGGAATTGCTAAGGCTGGATGAGGCACGCTGGGGTCAGTCCCCACGGAGTCCCTAAGTCCTCCCTGGTGTGTATGAGGGCATGGGGTGGGGGCCGAGGCAGGCCTGAAGTGGCCACTAGGAGAGGCCTGCTGTCCGCAGGCACCAAGGCCACCCAGCATGCGTCCCAGAGCGCCCTGGCAGCGGGGTGACCTCGCCGGCTCTCAGTAGGAAAAGAGGCTTGGTTATTTCCCAGGAAGGTCAACGACAGCAGCTCTCCCAGAGGAGGGGAAGGAAGGGGCTGGGCCGTGGGCAGCAGCCGGCCCTACGAGGTGGCCTTGTGTGCCCGGGCCTTGCCACTGCCCAGCCTGTGCTCAGACTTCAACCATGTGCTTCCCGAAGGCCAGCTCTCAACCTGACCTGTGTCACGTAACAAAATCATTGTATTTGCCATGCAAATGTTAGGTATTTTTACTTCCCTAAAAAGACCAGAGAGGCAAAAACACTACTACGTAGAGGGTCGTGAGTTTCTGTTCCTCCCTGCTGAGCAGGATGGCCCCACTCCCATCTATATGGAAATACTGGCGGGGCCAGGCCTATAAATAAGCATCCTGATTGCTCCAGGAAGGCCAGGCTTCCTCATTTTTTTAAAGTGGAATTTGTAACAGCTTCGGCCCAGAACATTTGTGTCCAAGGTCCTTTCATCTCCCAGGCATCCTGTACAACTGCCATATGGAGGTTTTGGGATTCTTCCCACTGCAGCTGGGTCACGGGACAGGCCATACTGGGCCAGCCTGCTCAAATAAAGAAGCAATTATCTCCCTTCTGTGACCTCTGTCTTGTGTTTAGATATAAGTCTTAATAGGATCCCTCCTGGGGAACAAGCAGGAAGCTCCTTTCTGCTTCTGCCAAAAGGCACATCTGTTAGAAATGGAGCAGATTCCTTAGGAAGCACAGGGACCCAGGGCACAAGGATCAGCCAGACCCGGGGGCAGTCTTACGCCACTGGGTTCTCAGACCTGGATGGGCCTTCGCTTCCCTCAGACTGACTGGCAGCACAGAGTTACAACAAGAGTGCCAGGTAGTGAAACATACAGAGCTACAGCAAATAAATCGGTGACACCTGCACAAGAATCAAGACAGGTCATCGGAATAAAACAGATCAGTGCTACTCGGAGCGGTCCATGGACCCGAGGCCGCTCTAGGAACAGTCTGTGACAGTGTATGACGAGATAAGGAGCTGTGCTCAGCACGGACGTCAGCTGTGTCAGTAAGCAGGCAGTTGAGTTAGACTGACCATTCTTTGGTGGCCAGACTTTCTCAATGAAGGAAGCAGTGTGTCGCTTCACATTCTGGCCAGTTCTTCCCCTCGTCACAGGTGGGCACTTTGAGTAGGTTTGTTGTGAATAGTCCTGAAACCATCCCTGGTATAATATATTGAAAAGGAAACTCACAAAACAAGGGGGAAGAGAAGGGTTAGTCAACAAATTGGGTTTGAGAAATTGACCATGTCTTTTTTAGAATAATGTTTTTTCACATTATGCACAAAATAAATTACAGATTCAAAAGTTAAGTGGGGAAGAAAATGAAACCTTAAAAAGACACATTAAGGAAAATTTTGAACTGATCTCACAGTGTGGAAAAAACTTTATTTTTAAATATCTTTTCAAATTACAAAAGTAATAAATCTTCCTGGTAGAAAATCTATAAAATGTTCTTGGTTTTTTTTTAAAAAAGTCACCTGTACTTCTGCCTCCTTGGATAATCACTGCAGCTGTTGTGACTATTTCTTCCAGCCTTTTATCTGTTCGAATAAATATTTAATAAAACTAGGGCCATTTTATCTATATTATTGTGTCTTTCCATGAATTTAATAATTATTTTTAAATGTAGGAAAAAAAGAATACAACACTATATATACAGCATGATCCTGATGGTGGGTTGGTTTGGTTTGGTAGTGTTGATTTATACATATAAATATTCATTAAATATATTACATTACTGTCTTTCAATAAAAAGTTTAAAAACTGCTACACAGGTGAACATGATTTTCTTCTTTATATTTTGACCTTCCACAAATTTTCTGCAAGGAGCATGCATTACTTTTGTCATCAATGAAAATAAAACATTGTCATTCACAGCCAGCTTCTTGGGACCGGTGTTGGTGCAATCCATTTCGTCTGTCCCAGACTCGGCCTCAGGCTATCCCCTGAGCCCTGGGCCCATCCCTCAAATGCATCTCCTGGTCTCAAGGCTAATAATAGCAGGGCCGTATGCAAGGGCCACCCCGCCTCCACCACTTCTGGAAATGCCATTCCCAACATGAGGGCTGTGCAGCTGCCCTGGCACCACCCCAGCATGGGCACGCTGGCCACAGCCACTTGCCTGCCCCTGCCCAGGGCCTGCCTCTGGGAGGATGGGGGGCAGTGGGGATAGTACCCTGCCAGTAGTGCCCAGGGATCTGTTTTTCTGATGTGTGTATTTCCTGCACATTTGAGGGCATCTTTTGTGCTCACGAGATCGGCAGAGGCTTGGAAACTAAAACTTACCCTCCTAGGAATCCCCTGGTTGGCGTCATGAGGCCCTGCCGGTAGGCCCTGTGCAGTCCTGTGGGGGCTGAGCAGGGAGTGCCCCGGGCATAGCCGCCTCTGCTTTGGGGGCTGCAGCATGAAGCACTCTGGGAAGCAAGACTCGAGAGGGTTTCATTCCTCATTGCTTCCTCAGGTTTGATCCACCCTGAGCCCGGGACGGCTCTTTCCAATTTGGTCATTGGCGGGAGCCTGTCCCGAGAGGAAGTTCAGTGGGAAGGATGAGATCCCTCTGGGAAGGTGGTGACGGGGCACCCAGCTGTTCTCAGCACGCTGGCTCCAGTGACTGTGAGGAAAGGACTGGGTGGCGGCCCTCTCAGACCGCAGCATTTGTGGGCAGGAAAGGAAGCGAATGCAGCTCAGGACTCTGGGATCTGCTCTCAGGAGCACAAAGGCATTCCTTCCCAGCAGACCTGCCGAGAGACTGAGTCAGCAGCCTTGATTTTCCAAATGCACGCTCTAGAACAGCGTGTCTATCCATCTTCACAGCTCTGGGTACTGTTTTGGGGGAAACTAATAGCTATCTGTAAGCCTGGGATGATAAACTGGGCCGAAGTAAGTGGGGAGCACCTGGCAGGCTGTGCAAAGCCGTGGGCTGGCCTCTGGGCGCCTCCTCAACAGCTCCCAGCCGGGCCATGTGGGTCGGGAGCTGTGGACGCTGCTCCCGCAGGCTCGCCGGCGCTCAATGACCCTCTGCTTTGGCTTTGCAGGCCTGGCACTGGTGCCGAGGAAGCTCTGCGCCCACTATGCCTGGGACGCCGGCGTGCTGCTGCAGGCCTGGCCGGCCGTGGACCCGCACTTCCTCCAGCCGCCCGACGTCGTGCAGATGGCGGTTCTGGTGAGTGTCCCCGCAGCTGCAGAGCCAGGGCAAACCTGTGGGGCGGGTCACTGTCCCACCCGTGGCCCACAAACACCAGCTGGGTTTGGAGGCTTCTCCACAGGCCTTTCTGGCCCAGCCAGCCCTCAGCCCGACCTTCAGTTTTGAGGTCATCCCATACCAAAAGCTTGTGAGCATAAAACACTCATGGCCCTCAAGGGACTGGAAGGTAGAAAAAATAAACCTGACCTGCTTTACAGGTCCTCATTGTCTTCCTTTCTACCTGTGTTTCAATCTAAGTTTCATTTGGCTGCTCTGAGTTCTGTGGGGGGGCGGCTGATGGTGAGGAGGTTGGCAAAGCGGGAACACCTCAGTCTGCAAAATATATTGTAGAAAGCTACATAAAATGTCTCTTTTTTTTTTGGATAAATTGGGTCATTTTAAATACGTAAAAGTAGTTTATTGTTTAAACCTTTTATAGAGCAAATAACTCTTATCATTTATCTTTTGTGTAATTTTTACATATTTAATTTGTTAATTTGAGACACGTTATAAGGAATCTCTCAAATATGCTGATGTAGCTGAAGAAGGTAAGAGGGCAAAGGGTGAACCTTTTAGCACATCTCTGAACCACACGTGGGGCCAGGTAATTTACATCCGAAATTTAACTCTTAGCACCCTATACGGTAGGCGTTACCATTCTCACGTTTTTCACTTGAGAAACCGTCTCCTGAGGAGTTCCTCACCTCGCGCAGGTTTACTCACTTACTCATCAGTAATTACCACGTTACCTACTCTACTTCAGGCACAGTGCTCGGCTCAGGCGATACACAAACAGGGTCCCCACCTTCACGGAGCTTAAAGCCTGGTGGGAAAAAGAGAGGAAATAAAAAGGAAAGAGAAAAATAAAATTATTGCAAGTCGTGAACACAGTTGCCACGAACAGGACCCCTTGGGGCTGAGGGAGAGGACAGCCTCACAGAGGCCCCTGCCCTTCTGCATCTGTGCAAGCCCTGGGCCCACCAGCAGGTCGATGTTTGGACAGACTGTCACTCAGGAGACCAGCTCCTTCACAGCTGCTCCGTCCCCACAACACCTCCCCTGGCTCTGAGTTCCCCACTGAACCCACTTTGCCTCCCCTGCAGAGGGGAGGGGTGGGGCTGCCCTGGTAGGCTTCCAAAAATCCTCACCCAAAATCAGCCTTGTGGCACAGAGAGGCAGTTTCTTAAACTTGAGTAATGTTTATGAAAATAAGTATCTGTGTACCTCTGAGTACTCTTTCTCAGCACGATTGAGAAATGCCAACTTGAGACACTGAAGTTTTAGTCCATGAAAATGTCTCTTCGTTTTAAATTACCACTGCAGAAAAGAAATTAGTTTTGATAATTGGTAAAGTAATTTTAAATTATCTTTGAAAGGAAAACCCAAAATTTAAAGTGTGTAGGACTCCCTGCAAGTTCACCCAACTCAAGAATGTGCGAGTCGGGGCCCCATGCCGTGTGGCAGAGCTGCTGTAGGGCTCTGGGTTCTGCCTCTGGTCCCGGTGCCATAGCCAGAAACAGAAGCTGCAGCACAATACAATGTAATTCAGGGTAATTCACTTCAGCCATGCCCATGTGCTCTGTGCCCGCCGTGTGCCAGGCTGTGCCAGATTCTAGGGACACGGAGCCCAGTGGCACCACCTTATCTTCCTGGAGCTTAGCACCCAGGAGGGACAGCTGGGGGACACGAGTTGTCCCACATACAGGGTGTTTATGTAGCCTCGAGGTTAAGATGCAAGAGCTTGCGAGTCGGACCATCCGGGATGTAAGTCTCAGTTTTGCAAAATACTTAATTTCTCTAAGCCTTGGTTTCCCCAGATGGAAAATGGAGGCAAACGCAGTTGCCTGCCTTCCCCAGTTGTTGAAAGAATTAGATGGGATAATGCCAGGAGGTGCTTAGCCTGCTTCTGGATGCACTGATGACAAAACCCACTAATGTGTAGTGAACACCAGCTAAGGGCCAGGCATCACCCTAAGAACTTTCCAGATACGAACTCATTTACCCCGCACAATAGCCCTGTGAGGTGGGCACTGTTAGCCCATCTCACAGATGACGCTGATAGGAGACTAACCCCATTTTACAGGTGAGGACACGGTGGCAGTCAGGGCTTCGTAACTCTCCCGGTAGATGTTACTGTTGCTGGCGTCAGCATCGCCGCTCTGGCAGTGAGGGGATTGGAAGAGGCATCTGAGGAAGGGCCGTGGAGCTTGACTTTGAAGGAGGAGCTACCTTTCCCTAGTGGAGAAAAGGGGCCAAGGCAGGGGAAAGCCCTTGGCGACACTGGGTCTGTGAGCCGTGGAGGGACTGGAGCAGAGGCACAGGCAGGGTGGACTGGGGAGGAGGCTGGACTCCATCACTGAGAACACTGGGGGCTGGCAGGGATTCTCAGAGGAGAGAGAGGATCCAGGAGGTCATCCTGTCTCCACCACTTCCTGGGATGGGTGGCTTCATCTCATGTGCTTCAGCTTTGCCATCTGTAAAATGGGGATGGAACGGTTGTGCATCTGCCCTAAGGGTTGTGGTGAGGAGAAACGGGTTCACTCAGGGGAACTGTGTAGCACAACTGTGCTCACTGGGCGCAGTGAGCGCTGAGTCAGCGGGGGCTTTATTGTTAGCCATTGCAGGGCTACCCTCCTGTTGGGGAGTAGTGATGGGTGGGAAGGTGGGGGGAGCAGCACCCATGGCCAGGGGCCCGCCAGGCAGCTGTTGGAAAAGTCCAGGAGAACAAGGCTGAGTGATGAAGTGGAGATGGCAGAGATGGAGGAGCAGAAGCTTGCAAGGCCGTCAAATGGGGACTGGAAGACTTTTCTGAAGTCAAACAGCCACTGTTTGAGGCGATTTGAAGGTGCTTCTTCCCCTTTGGGCCTCTGAAAGCCAAGCTGCATATTGAGTCCCAACTAGCCTTCCATTGTCCATTTAAGTGGTGCCTCATGCCCAGGACGGGGGACCATGATTGAGACTCACTCACCCTGAAGGGACTGCCCTGGGTAAGGCAACTCGTGGGGGTCCCAGGGAGCCAGAAACTGGGAGAGGGGCCCCAAGGCAGCATGGGGAAGCCCGCTGGGCACCATAGCACATCCAGAGGTCATGTGCTTTACTCCTAGGCCCCAGCTGCAGCCTGGGGGCTGGTCCTAAGCCATCACTGGCCAGGCCTGTCTACGCTCCAGGGAAGCACCAGAGGCTCGCTGGGCCTGGAAGTAGGGGTCATTGTTGTGCTAAGGCCGTGCATTGAAGAAGATGCCCCACGGTCCCACAGCTTGTGAGTCCAGGCCTGAGAATCAAACCTGGGTCTGTCCCTCGTAAGAGAGCATGCTGTCTCTCCCCCAGCAACCCACATCCTGAGTGGTGGCTAGAGGAGACCTTACCCTAGGCCTCTCTTCCCTAGAAAAAGAGTAAGAACAGAGACGGAGGGGCTGGTACATGACTCATTAACAAGTGCATCTTCTGAGAGTTCCACTTTTGGGGCTCCCAGGACTTTACAAGAGGCGTGGCTTCTGTGTGACGGGGTCAGGGGTCTCTTCTGAGGTCTCAGTCAAACCAAGCCTGTGGCCTTGAAAGAAAGCAACTTCTAATGGCTTAGAAATGCGAAGGCAGAGAGACCACGGTCCTTCAAACGGCACATCCTGGTTCTGCAGGTTCAGAACACTAAAACCCTGCATCATGGAGCCTCACACTTTTTAAAACAACAGTATTTCAGAATGTTTCAGGACGTGATGTTTCATCTCATTTGTCTCCCACCTGGTGATCTAGGCTAACGCACCCGATGAAAATGCCACTGAGTTCTACGCAAATCTGAAAAAACGAAGTGGGTGATTATGGATACTGGATAACATGCTTTGGTTGAAACTTAAATTACTCCTAGTAATTTATCATAGTGACTATATTTTCCACATGAAAAACAGGAGCATTAGGGAAAGAAATGTCAGTGTTCTTCTGGGGCAATGGCGTCAGGATTTGAAGCACGGCTGTTGGAAGCTGTCTGGGCCACGTGGTCACTTTCCCTGGTGGCAATATCAATTCATATTTGATGTGAAGTTTGTCCTTGTTGAACTGACATTCAGTGAATACCCACTGATGTCTGGAACCGTACTGGTCCAAGAAGCAAGAAGAGTTGTGATGTGGGTCCCATTTCCAAGTTGTCAACTTGAGCGCCCCCTTCCAGAGCCGATCATCAGACAAGGAGGATGACTGCATTGCCCAGAAATTAGTCCACTTGAGACCTCGGTAAAATCCTCCGGGACACCCCCTATAGCCGGGTCTGAACTCAGACTTGATTCCCAGTGATGTACTGATCCCTCTCCCCACGGAAACAGCCTGAGCCTTCTCATGCTGAGGACTTTTGTCATCATTTCCACCACAGCTGTGATGGGGTAGCACTCAGGACACTGCAGGTGGTGCTCCCTCCAGGTGCGGGTGCTCACGTGCACGCTCGGTGCTGGGGTCGCGCTCTCTCTAGTGTCAGACATGAATCCTACCCATCTAATTGCACTTTGTCCTCTTGAGAAGCTGGGTATCGGGGGGCGTGCCCCTCGCAGGACTGTCCTCATTCTTTCTCTTGGCTTTTCTCCTTCTCAGATCAACAACAAAGCCTGCGGCAAAATCCCGGTGCCCCAGCAAGTCGCCCAGGACCAGGACAAAGTCCACGAGCTTGTTCTCCAAAGCGAGCTGGGTGTCAGGCTGTTGCAGGGGCGAAGCATCAAGAAGGCCTTCCTCTCCCCTAGAACTGCCCTCATCAACTTCCTGGTGCAAGAGTGACTGCAGGGGGGCCTCTGAGGAGCCTCCTCCAGGCCTGGGATGAAGGGAAGAAGCCTGCTGGCCCAGGGGAGGGGAAAAGACCAATGTCTTCAATATTTACCTTCGTACTCAGACAGACTGGCATCAACGGGGCACCTCTGTGGTGGGGCCTGCTGCAGGGGTAAGGGCGGGTGTAGGCAGAGGAGAGAGATGAGTGAAGGGGGAGGGGGCGGCTTGTGCTTCCCCCGACACCCACCGCCATTGCAGGGTGGAGGAAACCACCTGTGAAGCCGCCAGAGATATTGCCGGTTAGGAGCAGGAATGAGAAAAGAGAAGCAAGTGAGAATGAACACAGTGCCTCTCGAGCCTGGGAGCTTCTGGATCCCAGAAATTGCGCTGCCTTAGGCACACCCCAGGAACGTGATGGTGACCTAAGGAACCACACGGGGCTCAGGAGCAACATGGACAGTCACTGTTGAGCGGGTAACAGCCTCAGCATCATGGTGGATGGTCTCCGTGCCTTCAGGCTAGATGGAGAAGCCATTTGGATCATGCCCAAATATCCAGTATCTGGAATGGACATTGGGGTCTTCAGAAGCTGCTCTGAACCAAAAGGCAAGAGGTGCTAGTCCCTCAACCAACATTCCCCCTGCTCCTCAGCTCTCCTGGGAGGCTGCTTCCTCCCCAGCCCAGCTGGATGCGCCTGCGGGCCTGCTCTGATGCTGGTACACAGGCTCCTGAGCGAAGCACTGCTTCCTACCATGAGTGATCAGCAGCACCTCCTCAACCCTCCCGCAGGGTGTAAAATTTGCTGCATAGTGAAGCAGAACCAAGCTGGTTCCAGTCTCAGATGGAACCCATCTCAGAGCCCACCACAGCCCAACAGAGAGTCTGCTCACGTGGGCCCCAAATGGTCACGCTGCCATGAAGGGCCCCCAGAGCCAGTCATTGGGAAGAGCCAGTTCACCACAGCACACAGAGGGGCTGATGCCACCCAGCGTTACCTCCTGTGTTCAGGCCACAGCAGTCCGGCAGCCGGGGAGAGGCCAGGAACCGACACGCGTGGTTGGGATACTAGGGTGATCCTTCCTGGGTTTATGTGAAGTCAGCCAGTAGGTGCTCTTCCCAGAGCTGGCCTGAGCCACTGAGGAGTGTTTAATGCGGAAGCAGAGGAGAATCTAGCCATTTTGTGATGCCGAAAATCTCTGTTTGTTCTCTGATGCCATTTGTTGGAATAGCCTCTGATGTGGCTACAGTTCAGCAGCTAACAGATGGCTTTGGGTTTTTTTAGTTGATAGCTGAGGTCTTAGTTGTTTTGTTTTGTTTTTATTATTGTGGTAACGTTGGTTTATAACATTACGTAAGTTTCGGGTGGACATCATTACCAGTTGGCTTTTTCTTAATGTAATAAAATGTTTGTCGTGTATGACTTTGGGACATATGTGTGATCTTGGAGTAGCCACCATATTCCAATTCTGGGAGTTAATCAGGAACAGACTGAGGTATTCTGTCATCCACAGAGGCATTGGCTGTGTGCCTGACTCCACATGGAGTGTTACAAAGTGAGACGCATGCGGAACTTAGAGAATGTGGTAGACAACATGGATTCAGGCACATTAGCAACAGCAAGTAAGTCACTGGTTCTCATACTTGCTCAAACTTATTATCATGCCTGGTCCCCATGCCCAGAAATCTTGATTTAATTGATCTGAGCTGCACTTGGGCATCAGGGAATCTTGAAAACTCCACAGGTAATTCTCATGGGCAGCGAAGTTTGAGAACTACTGGATTAATTGGTGCATTTGAACCGTAATGTCTAACGAGTCCTTCCTCTCCTAATCTTCAGCTTCATTAGGATGAGTTTGATCCAGGACTAAAACACAAATGCACTGGAGCTGGGGAAGACTAGGACCAGAAGGGAAGGCAGGGGCCAGAGCTCTCGAGCAGGTATTTAAGACATTCCCAGAGCTGACCTGTGTCCACAGTCCCATTCCATGTACCCGCAAATGTGGATTAAATATAAGCAAACAGATGAGGATATTTCGTACAAGGAGGGAGGAGTGAGTGTTTTGCTTGATTGTCTTGTTTATCCCCAAGGTAAGCTGAGTGGTCTTGAACCCGTCGACAAGATGAGGGTAGGGAGCCTTTTATCTGCACATAATCTGGCCAGAGCAATGGCCCAGAAAAGCCTCAAGGCTACTGGACTGACCCGAATGGCTTTGGAGAACTTGTTCTCCAAGAGGATGAAACATTTGAAAACGAGCTCATTGGTACTCCGAGGAGATAGTATTATGGGGCAACTGAACAGAAAACTGATCCCTTGGGGTGGGGCGGTGGGGTGGGGAGTGATCTCAGTCCTTTAGTAACTGCCTTGATTAGGTAAGAAACTGGGCTCGACAAGTTCACTTGCCTTCTGTCATTTAGTTCCTACAAAAACCCTAGAGGGAAGGAATTATTTTCTCATAAATATGAAGAAACCCAGGCTCTGAGATTCAATAATTTGCTCAGTTTCCACTGCAAAAAAGTAGACGAGCCAAGATCCAAACCCTTGTCTTCTGGCCTCCAAATCCCCTTATGCCACCTGGCTGTCTCTACCAGTCCCTTCACCTAATTGCCCATCTTGCTTGAAGTACCACAGTCAGGAAAACTGAGATGTTGGCCAAAAGCCAGCATTTTGAGCAGAGTCTGGCCAGGGCTCCCTCCTGTGAAGTCCTCACATCTGTAAAGCCAGGAAATCACAGCAGTGCCCTTTGTACAGGGACGGGCAGTGGCTGAGAGGCCAAGAGCGCAGAGTTGGTTCCACAGGACGAGGGCTGAAGGTTGCTGCCAAAGCAATGGAAGACCCAGGCTCATGGGCAGTGTCAGGGAAATGAGGGAAGAGAGTCTGTGCACCTGGAAAGTGGTGCCTGGGAAGTCCCACGGCAAATGCCACCACAGTAGGAACCAACTGTCCACCAAGGAGAATGAAATTGATCTCCCAGACCCTGAAACAGTAAGTGAGCTGGGAAACGGCATAGGCACGCTTCATCTCAACCTGAAGACTCACCTTCAGGGAACTGGTTAAGAAAAACAGGGTGCAGCCAGGCAGCGGAAGACGAGGCAGCCGGCAAAAAAGTGGTTTTTAAAAAACATGTACTATGGGACTGGCCCAGTAGCTAGTGGGTGGTTAAGTTCATGCACTCTGCTTCTGGCAGCCTGGGGCTCACAGGTTCAGATCCCAGGCACAGACCTACACACCACTCATCAAGCCATGCTGTGACAGCATCGCACATACAACATAGAGGAAGATTGGTACAGATGTTAGCTGAGGGCCAATCTTCCTCACCAAAAAGAAAAGTGTAATATGGAAATTTTCTCATAAATAAAGCAGTATACTTATACAATGTGATCCCAACCATGTTTTTTTTAAATTCTAACCCTTACAAAGAGAGAAAGGAATTTGCCACAGATCATTGGTTGAGAGTCCTGCAAGTTATTTTTTCCTTCCATTTACTTTTTTGCATTTTCTAATTTTTATTGGCCATGTAGTATTTCACTATTGGGGAAAAAACATCAAAACCTACTGTGAAGATCCAGATGAGCTGAGGACCCTGGATTTTTTTTTTTCTCCCAGTCAGGGTATCTTGCTGCCTGTTGGGGGTGTGCCCCAGTTAGAAAAACCTACTCCTTTTGTTGTGTGAAGTGGAGTCCAAAGAAGCAGAAAGCAGCCTCCGTGAAGCTGTCGCCTGTACCATCACCCAGTGTGGGGAGGCGTGGGAAGCTCTCTCTCATCTCTCAGCCTTGGGATCTTGCAACCAGAGGACACAAGAACAGAAGGTAACAGTCCCTCCATGGAACTCTCCTGTTCTTGGTGGACAAAGCAATATGGCGACCAAGAGCGTGAGCTCTGGAGTCAGCCAGACCTAGGTTCTGTGATTATGTCACTTAAAACCTCCATGACCTAGGCAAGCCATGGACCCTCTCTGAACCTTTGTTTCCTCAACTGTAAAACAGGAGTAAAAATAATAATGCCTTGGGGTGTGAGGATCAAGAGAGACAATGTGTGGAAAGCACGTGGCACCTAGTAAGCTCTCAATAAATGAGAACCGCTTAGGATGATTGATCTTGCCTGGGTAAGAAGAGGCTAAAGGTCTAGAGAGGGAGTCTCTTGGGTCAGAGAGAAGGGAAAGTTTAGAAAAAGATGCATCCCACCTGCAAATGTCAATCCTGGCCATCCCAGGCCTGCGGAGGAAAACATTTAGTGAGGAAACATGGGGGGATTTTGATCCTGTTGGCAGAACCAGGCTTATCATATGGTATTTTCACCTCATGCCCTGAAACGTTAGTATTCTCTACTCCCCAGCTTCTGGTTCCAAGCCTCCTGCTTAGTTTCTGGGAGGCTCATCCGTGTGACAGTGATTTCTCTTTGGTGCTGGAGATACTCTTTTCCTTAAGTGGTGGCCCAGGCCATGAAAGACCTGAGAAGGGTCTTGGAAGCTCCCAAACCTCCTTCAAGCCCCACTGTGGCCATCTACTCCTGTCCCAGGACGTGTAGAATTGTGACATGGGAAGGAATGGAGCAAAGGATGAAAAGTCAAGAGCTAGGAACCATAGGGGTGAGTCCAATCTAAGCCTCCAGGTCAAGTCTGGCTTGAGTGTCCTGCCTGTGGTGCCCAGAGTAGGATCTCCAGTGACCTCTGCATCCCTCCCTCAACAGCAGTTAATGGAAGGAGCGTTTGGGGCTTGCTAGGGGAGCCTCTTGACTGAGTGGAGCAGCCATCATTCTTGTTGCCTCTGCTGCCATGGCTTGGGGTTTACTGATTGATGGCCTGAGGCTGCTGGGAGCAGATGGCCCAGTGGTATGAGCTGGAGGAGGTTTGGAGCCAAGTGGAGAAGTCCACTAGAGACTCTTGCAGACTATTCGTGGCCTGGGGCCCCTTGGGAGGCCAATACTCAGACAAGATGGCCTCCAAACCAAGAACTGAGAATCAGAAGTTTTCATTTATGTGTGGTTTGGTTCCTGAACTGAGCTGCAGGGGACGGGTTATGAGGCCACTAGTGCACACAGACTTGCTGCAGCATGCAACCGGGCCAACAACACATCCTGCTGGGCTGTAGTTGGTCGTTAGGGACCAGAGTCCAGAAAAGGCTTGATTCCTGCACCAGCAGGCCTGGCCACAGCCTGCTGCCCTGCTCAGTAGGTTGCCCCACTAGGAGAGACAGGAAAGGGCAGCCAAGGCAATCCAGGCATTTGGAGCCCCAGGCACCAGTCAAGGGGCTTTGCTGCTGCTCTTGAATCCTCATGTTGATGTTACAGAGTGGGAATTATGACCCACGTCCTGTAAATAAGGAAACTGAAGCCTAGAAAATAGAGTGAATTACCGAAGTCACTGGTATTGACCTCTACAGCCAGGATTCAGCCCCAGGTCTGCCTTTCTGTGAACACCTCTTGCTTTCTCCACAGCAGCAACCTGCCTTCTGGGAGGGAAGAAGTGGAGGGGTCTTGGGAAGAAATACAGCTGGTTCTTGTTCCTTCTCTCCGGGAATTCTGAACTGGAGCTCTGGCATGTGTGTGGCTCCACAGACTTGTCCCTCTTGGAGGAACAGGACTGGGCGTTTGTACCCTGAATCTGCCTGTCATTGGCTGAGGGTCACTTCTGGGATTAGGGGGGTAATAACTTCCTGGGCAGCTCAGGGTGAAGGGGCGCCCATTGGCTCAGGGAAAGTTTTCCAGAAAAGGACACTGAGCTGTCAGCAAGCAATGTGCAGAGCAGCTGGGACCAGGCACATTGACCTGTGAAGATGATCTGGGAAGAGCACCCAAGGCAACCTCCACAAGGAGAGAAGGCCAGAGTCCAGGGGTGAGGAAGTGCACTAGACGGAAGCCAGAGTCACAAGAGAAGTGGAGCGTGCATGGAGTCTAGACAAGCCGAACGGCCTCTGGCCCACCCTATGCCCATGGGCCATGGCTCGGGCGGTGCCGCTGGGTTCAAAGGTAGATAAGACCAAACCAGAAGGCATTATCATCCCCCTTTTGCAGATGACGAAACCATGGCTCGAACAGGCTGTGACTCACTTGAGACCCAGGCAGTAAGTGATGAAGTATGATGATTCCCAGTCTCTGCTCATCCCCTCAGCGCCCCTCCCCCTACTTTGTAGGAAAAGCCCAGTGCTACCACCGGGCAGAATTTAGCTCAGGGGGTAAATTTTTTCATAATGATGAGCCGCACCCCAGTCTATGGATCAAGGAAGGGCATAGGGGTAGACAAAATGTGAAGTTTGCCCTCGCCCTTCTTCCTGTGAGAAGAGCGAGCAGAAAACATCTGTTTCGTGGGCTGGGTCCCTGTCTGACGCTCCCAGGGTGGGCGGCTGAAGGCTCTCATCCAAGCTGATGAGTTTGGAGATTGGAATCTGGGGTGACCAACAATGAGCAAGGGGGGAATGCCCCCAGGGAGAGTGGGTGGGTGGTGACTGTGCTGGCAGGGAGGGGAGAGCCTGGAGCAGCCAGGGAAGGGCCAGTCCTTTGGGCAGAGGCCTCAGATCCAAGGGTGGGGCAACACTTGTCCAGAAGGGTTGACCTCACTCGGGGCCTCCTCCATCACATCTCTAGAGCTGCCCACGTGAAGGAGGGGCCGCAGAGATAATGAGGCCCTGGGGGTAGGTGGTGGCCAGGCTGCTGGAGTCATGGGCCTGGAACCCAGCACTTATGACTCACCTCCGCATGCCTCAAGCCCTGACCTTGGAGTCCAGTTCCAGGAAGAGCACGCCTATGCCAGACACCCAGTGTGTAGGGTCACTGTCTGTGATTCCCCGAGATCAGCAACGATAATAATAGTTCCCATTTCGTGAGGACTAATCATGTACGAGGCCCTGTTCTAAGTGCTTTACCACAGAAGGGGTCTTGCTCAAGACCACACACATGAGAAGATGGCAGAGCCGTGATTCCGATGCTGCTGCACCATATTGCTTCCCAAAGGCCTTTATGGAAAACAGCCCTCAACCCTCCTGGATTTTCAGACAGTCCTGATTTCTGGCTTTCTCTCCAATTGTCCCCCAAATACCTAGAACCGGTGAGTACATCCCTGGTGTTCCGAGGCAGCCACTTCAGTGTGTGCCTGGGGAGGGTCAGGGCTCTCTCTGTGCTTGGGACTGGCCAATCCCAAGGAGCCCTCACCTCTGACAGGCAGACAGAGTCCCCTTTGGGCTCCATCACTGGGCCCTAGAAGTCAGGGAGTCAACTTTGCTCAACCCCACATTCTGTTAGGGAAATCCCGTGGGAGGGGAGCTGGGCCTGCAGTCACAGGGAGAGCTTCTTGGCCTCACGGCAGCCCAGCCAGTGTCTTCCCCAGACCAGTCTTCCCATGAGCAATGAAAGAAGCTCATCTGGGATTGCTGAGGGGTAGCCCACCCCTGGCCCCACCCAAAGGAGAACTCACCCACCCACCGTACCTGCACAGCTGCACCCTCATGGGCTGCGCTCAGAACCAGGAGGAGAACCGGCCCTGAGGAGGGACTCCCTTCCTCAGACACGGAGGTGAGGGGGAGTGTGAGGAGGGTGTGATGGGCACTGTGGGGTCAATAGGGGAGGCAGGGCCACCCACAGAGAGATGTCATCCACTGGGTCTGGCCTGTCATCCATCAGGAAAAAGGCAAGGTCCCCTTCCACTAGAAACAGGGCCAGGGTGGGCCAGAAGGGCTTTGTCAGGTGGGCTCCAGAGGGGGGCTCACTGTCAGTGGCAGGACACAAGGGCAGCCTCTGCACAGAGACAGGCTGAGAGAAATAGCTCAGAAGAGAGAACCGAAGCCAGGTGTCACTGAACAGCTCCATTATTAGTTAGCAGCTAATCTCTTAGTTGTCAGTTAACACCTTAGTTTCCAGGCAATATCTTAGTTTGTTACTACTATTTTAATTGACTACTATTATGGACCGAATGTTTATATCCCTCAAAATGCATATGTTGAAACTCTACCCTCCACTTGATGGCCTCTGGGAAGTAATTAGGATTAGATGAGGTCGTGAGGGTTCCATCCTCATGGATGGGATTGGTGCCCTTATAAGAGTCACGAGAGAGCTTGCTTCATCGCTCAGCTCCCTGACATGTGAGGACCCTATGACAAGTCAGCAGTCTGCAAGCCCGAAGAGGGCCCTCACTGGAACTCAACTGCTCTGGCCCCTGATCTCAGACTTCAGCCCCCGGAACTGTGAGGAATACATTTCTGTTGTTTATAAGTCACCCCATCTATGCTACTTTGTTTCAGCAGCCCAAACTAAGACAACTGTTAACATCTTAGTCATCAGCAAACAATCCAAGTTATCAGCAAACATATTAGGTGTCAGTTCCCCTCTTAGCGAGTAGGAGTAGAGTAGACCTCTTAGCTGACAGTTACTTCATTTATTGCCTGCGACACCTCAATGGTGCACTAATACCTCAGTGGCCTGCTAATATCGTGAATGTCTACTAATCATCTTTAGCAATAAAAAGTTTTTAATTAGCAGCTAATTGGTAATGCAACTATAACATGTAAACCCCCAAACCTCAGTGGTCTCACACAGCAAACTTTATTTCTCATTCCCATAAGTCTTATCCTTTGGAGAAGGGAGCCGGGGAGGAAGTTCACTCTGTTCCAGCTTGATGGAGGAACCCAGGCTGATGGAGGCCCCACTGTCTTCAACCCTTGGCTTTCAAGGTCGCCCTGGACATTGATATCCAGGTTGCAGACGAGGGGGAGAGAGAGACGGAATTTCATAAGGAGATTTTTATGGGCCAGGTCTGGAAGTGGCATATATCACTTCTGCCCTATTTCTCTTGGCCAGAATTTGGTCAGCTGGCCTCAGAGGGGCCTGGGAAATGTGGTCCGGGTTGGGCAGCCACTTCTCAGCAACAACTCTGCATGAGGGAAGGGGAACCCAAACCTGTGGGCGGCCAGCTGCCTCTGCCACCTGAGCAATCTTCATTTCCAAACTCTTGTTGTCAGTGTACATCTAAGTTATCTTCTAAATATCTCAGTTGTCTGCTAACACCTGGGTTTACAGACGTCTCCTGAGTGACAACTGTTTACCCTCTAAATCTGTGAAAGCTCCTAATTGTGGCTCTCAAACAGCTTGTGGTCACAGACTGGATCATCGCTTACCCTGCCGATCCCGCCCTGCCCTCTGTCCTGGACTCCGGGCCGCACTCCACAGAGATGCGTGAAATCACAGACCTGCCTTATGCCATTTTATGAGCGACCAATTTTTACTCCAAAGGTTTGTTTGTTGGTCCCCAGTTCTGCCCGCTCTCCTTCCTCTGTGAGACTCACACACTGGTTTGTGGAGACAGTCTGGAGTGTTCTGTTGGTTTGGAGGGTGTGGGACGTTTTGAAAGGTAGAGAAGGGCAGGTTTCCCAGACGCCCTGCAGGAAGCCTGGGAAATTCTCCAGATTCCTGCTTCTGAAGGGTCATGGTTGTTGATTCAGGGTGGAAATGTGACCCATCCCCAAATGCTTCACTATGTTTTAGTCCTGGAGACTTACACCTCACCGGTGCCCCACTCCACCTCAACACACACATGTACATGCATATCACATACGCATACATCCCACTTACAATACACATACCACACACACAACACACACCACACACACATACCCACCATACCACACACCCCCACATACAACACACACACATACATGCACCACACACAAAAAACACATAACACAGGTGCACCACACAGCCAAGGGCCTGCTTTGGGGGAAAGTACCTGGTAATTTCTTTTTGCCTGACGGAGGTCAAGCCTCACGGTCACATGATTGGGGGGGTTGTGGGGAGGGCAATTTGATCTTGAGAATTAGTCAGAGTCACAGCTGTCAGTCAGGGAGGTGCCCGAGGCTGGGGCCAAGGGGGACAGTTACACAGGAAGGCCCCCCATCCTCACATGGGCTCAGGTGGGATGCCATCACCAGGGTGGCTCCCTACTCTGACGGCACCCACATATGGTGGGAGTCCTCTGTATTGTTAACAGCAGCACGGTAACAGGAGTCAGAACGCCACTCGCAGGGGTGGCCTGTATACTGAGCATTAACTTTGTGCCAGGGGTCTGGCTCAACAAATGGCCTGGCGGGTGAGATGGAGGATGGGAGCTCAGCTTGGCCGGAGTTCAGCTCCCACATTTACTGACCCCGACGGCTCGGCTCGTGGCTTAACCTCCCTGAGCCTCCATCTCCTCACCTGTGGAAACAGGAATAACAGTTCCAACCCCCAGTCGTTGTGAGGATTCAGTGAGTTAACGTGTGTAAAAAGGCTTAGGACTTGGCCAGTATTCTTATGATTCTATGCTTTATCCCATGTAATCCTCACCAGCCACACCGTGAGGAGGTTAACAAGCTGGGGCCCCACCTGACAGATGAGCAAACTGAGGCTTGGAGAGTCAGATAACCTGCCTCAGGTCGCCAGCTAGTAAGTGTCTGGAGGTAGGTGCTGTTCCATGATCAGGGTGCTGATTGCAGAGTTTATGAGAATTAATTGAGCTGTACACTTAGTACATCTGCCTTTTCTAAATCTGTGTTTCCTCAAATGTTGACTTAAAAAAAGTCTATAGGGGGCTGGCCCCATGGCCAAGTGGTTAAGTTCGCACGCTCCGCTGTGGTGGCCCAGGGTTTCACAGGTTCGGATCCTGGGCGCGGACATGGCACCACTCATCAAGCCATGCTGAGGTGGCGTCCCACATGCCACAACTAGAAGGACCCACAACTGAAATATACAACTATGACTGGGGGGATTTGGGGAGAAAAAGCAGGAAAAAAAAGAAGATTGGCAACAGCTGTTAGCTTAGGAGCCAATCTTTAAAAAAAAAAGTCTATAACACCAAATATTTTAAAAAGCCAGTTGTAACCCACCTAGCATGGCCTTGGCCAAGTCTCCCAGGCTCAGTGGCTCCATCTCCTCATAATTACACCCACTCCACAGGCGTCCACAGCAAGGCAATGAGTTGGGCTCCGGTATACGGTAAGTGTTTAGCACACGATAGTTCCTTCCATTCCCCTTCTCCCCATTCTCCTGGCCTCCCCGGCCTGCCCAGGGAAAGGCCTGTCCTGAGACAGGGCCCTGACGGAGAGAGGGTCCACCCAGAGAGGGAGAGCAGGGGTCAGAGACCGGACCTTGATAGCCACGGATTTCTCATCCTGCAGCCCTTCCTTTTCCAGTGGCCACTCATGACTGCCAGGCAGCCACAGGTGGGCAGGAGCTCCCAAGGGCGAGCTGAGGCACAGCCCTGGGGGCTGCGGCAGGGGTCAGGCCAGCTGAGGTCCAGGCTGGGGCCTGCTGGGGCAGTGACAAACATGAGCCCACCAGAGGGTGGCCTTAGGGATCAGGGAGAGGCAGTGCCGGGAGTGGGGGGTGCAGTGAGAGGATCCTCTCTTCCCAGACCCCACCTGGTTCTTGTCCAGCTGCTGATCTTTCCCTGAGACCCGAGGGGGCAGCAAAGGTGAGATGCTGCTGCTCCCTGTGCACCTGCCCCGTGCCCTTCCTCCCAGGCCTGAGCAGAAGAAGCTCAAAGACAGATCCCAGGTGACAGTAAAAAACACCAGGTCACCCACTGGGTTGAGCTCACCTGCATCTGTGGCCCCACAAGCTGCCAGGAGCCTTTGATCAGCCACGCTTTGCCCTGTGCTGTGCTAAGCAAAGTGCACCTGGGAATAAATGACACAACCTCACGTGGTCTGTCCCCCCCACCCCACCTCTCTCCACACTCCTCCCAGCTCTCTCCGCTCCAGAGACCCTGGCCTTTGCTGTTCCTCAGGCACAATGGGCACACTCCTGCCTCACACCTGCTGTCCCCCTACTGAGAAAGCTTCTCCCCAGATGCTTCATTCTCTCGCCTCCTGGTCTCCGCCCTCATGAGTTCTTCCCTGACCATCCTACATACCACCCCACCCCCAGCATTCCCTCCCCCTCTAGCAAATAATGATTTTTTTTGCATATTTATCTTGTCGTATCATTTATCTCCCTCTTCAGAATGTCAGCATTCAGAGGGCACGGACTTTTGTGGACCACCACATATCCCCGCTCCAGCCCCAGAAGCACATGCAGGTCCTCCGGGAACAGCTCTCCACCTCCCCTCCTGACCTTCCTGTGGGCTTGCCTCTCCCCAGAACGCCTTTCCCACCGCGCCTGGTTAGCTCCTTGGGTGCCTGGAGCAATCACCGGAGGGGTGTAGGCCGTAAAGCAGCATGTCAGAGCCGCATTTTGCTGGCAGTAGTGTGCCTGGTGAATTGGTCGTAAGGAGACTGACGAGGAGGCATTGGCCAATGCCCAGTCCAAGCTGGGGAAGAGCTTGCCCAGGGCCTGCCACAGCGCGGACCTCGGGGATGGCTGGAGCTCTGGGACAGGGCGGGGCCATGGAATGAGAGAGGAGAGACAGGCCAAAGTGACATGTCCCAGGGGAGGAGGTGAGAAGGACTATGATGTCCAGCACATCACCAGGGTAGAAAGTGCTGCCTTGAAGGGAGAGCCAGGAGGGCGAGTTCATTCAGGCGGCCCAGAGCCTACAGGCTGAGGGGACCTGGGTTGGAATGGTCGCTGTGCACCCTTGAGCCACCACATCTGATTCCTGCTTTGTATCCTCTGGAGGAGATGAGACCCCCAGGATCTCAAGATAGGGTGGACTGTGAACATGTCCATTCCAGTGGGCACGTCCCAGGGCCGGCCATTGGAGTGTGATTGCTGACGCGGGTCGCTGGTGTGCCTCACCCCACCGCCCGTGGAGAGGCCTCTGCGGGGGCGTGCCCGTTTGCCTCCCTGGGGCCTCCCTCCCTGCCGAAATGAGGGACTGTGATGAGGCGGGTGGGGGAAGGGCCCAACTCTACGCCTCTGCATTTGTCCATTTCAAGGCCCGTGGGACTTGTGGGCTGCAGAGGCCCTGGAGGTCTTCAGCCCAGGGATGCTCACTTTCCTCCCAGCCCCTCCCTCAGGGAACTGCCCAGCTCGAGAGAGAAGAAGCCCTTTTTGGAGGTGTTGGGGTGAAGTTTTGCAGCATCTCTTTGCAGTCGGCATCACACACAGGGAGCTGTGCGCTCTGTGGCTGGCTGCACAGTTGTTGGGAGCATGGGCTGCCGCGGAGCCGGCGACCCAGCCCCACTGCGCGTCTGCGGCTGGGTAACCCATTTCACATTCTCAGGCGCACGGTTCTCCGCAGCCTAACATCTGAAGGCAAGATGTGTTCTCAAAGGCGACAGCTGTGATGTTGTCCCTGCAAATCCTGCACGGTGGACATCAGCAACTGGGAAGAAATCCCAGAGACAATAGTGGAGGGCCGTGCTGGGACGTGCCACCTCCCTGGGGCTTGTGGTGGCCCAGAGGGTGGTGTGGGAGACACGCGCTTGCATGACAGGTGATTCAGAAGAGTTGGCTTCTGAGCGTGAGCAAGTTTTACCAATACTTTAACCAATCTATTTTACTCACATTTTCCTTTTTAGTTATGCGCCTCAGTGATATGATAAAATTTATCTAAGTAAATCAGAAAGATATAATTTATCAAGCACAAAATTAAAAGTCTAAGTAAAGACCATGCTGCCATGCTTTAATGGCAGCATTTTTTTCTTGTTTTTTTAATGTGGTACTTAGAATAATGGGCACCTTAAAATCAATGATGTCTTAAAAAGTTGGTGAAATATGCACAATCGTCCCATTTAAGTCTACTTACTACCTTGAGTTAACCTCTTAAGACAGCATTGGCCCGATTATATTGAAATCATTTTGGTGTCTGTTTTCCCCACTAGACCACTTCCTTGGGAGCTGAGAGGCACCTTGCTGGCCTTTGAGTCTGCAAAACCTACGCAATAAACAGTAGGGCAATGGCCTGGCAACCAGTGGGTTTGAGTCGTGGTGTGCTCCTGTATATCAGCCACCACGGTGCCTGCTCGTTGTTGGGTTTTTTTTTTTGTGGGAGAGTGGAAAGAGTCTGAAATTCCTGGGCTGCCTCTTCAGCAAGGCTACAGCTATGGTTGTGTAGGTTGTACACTGCACAAAGATGTCCAGTCCAGGAGGGTAGTGGGGCCAAAATCCGTGCCAGCCCTGCTGGCCCATCCATGTGCCTGTGGGACTCTGTCCAGAGCAGGCAGCTTTTCTCATTTGTACAAATATGCTGTAGAGATGATCCGAGGATTTGCTTCTCATCCTTTAAGCAAAATCTTCCCTGCAGATGCTCTTACCTAGGAGTCCTAAGCAGCAGGTCAGGATGGGCTAAAAGACTGACCTTCAACGTTGGTTCAGAGTCCGACAGTGATTCCAGGGTCAAGAAGTGATTACAGACTTGGGGCTGAAACTTGGTGGTGCGCGACAACTTCGAATTCTGATTCTGGCCCTAAGTGGGCTCTGTAACCTTGAGCAAGCTGTTAAACACAGCCAAGATTTTTATTTCCTTAATTGCAAAATTCACCCAGCGATGGGCATCCTGGGAGGGAAAACTGCTGGAAATAGTCTGGGGATATTTTATAAATTGAAAACTGCTAAGCAGCCCTAAATGATGACTGGGGATTTCTCTGCTGGGAGAACAAAAGCATGACAGTTGGATGGCTTCCTGCCTGGCCTTTCTGTTAAGGCTTCGGTTCTGGCCCCCTCACCTGGGCTGCCCAGAACCATTGCTGAGGGTTAGTCATGGGCATTATTGGAGCACAACCACCTATTGCAAATATGGTTCATGTGTGTTTTAAAGTCTTGATTGTCAAGAGCTGGGCTGAGCCCGAGGCTGGAAGCCTGCTGGGGAGGGAGCTTCAAGCCAAGGCCACACGGAGACAGCGGGAGAGGGAGTAAGGAGCTGCTGGAGGAAGCACTGTGGGTTTATTTTAAGACTGGAAAAGAGGAAAGCTGAGGAGCACAATGTGGTGCAGTAATGGCCCAGCAGTCCCTGGCCTTTCCCTGGATGTTTCCCCTGAGGCAGGAATGAAAAAGAACAAGTTTTCTATTTACCATGATGCTGGGGCTAGAGCCCAAGGGAGCCAGGAAGGGGAGAGGGGTGGGGACAGCCGTGGGTGTAGACCACAAAGAACCCGTTGGTTATGTTGGTGGTCTGAACCCTGGCTGTGGATCAGAACGACCCTCTCCGGGCCGGAACTGAAGACCACTGGACCGTGGAATGATGCAGATCCCAGCGTCCTGAGAGCCAGGGCAGCCCTGAGAGAGAGAGATGAGACCCGGAGAATGTTCTCCTCTAAGAACTGCCCCGAAGTAAGGCCGTTCGGGTCTGAGGGCATCCATGCTCCCAGCGCTGCCCCCTGGAGGGCCCACCTCACGGGTTCGGCTGGCTGCTGTGAAGGGCAGAGGGCCACCCCTCCAGCCTCTGTGTTCCTTCATCTCCCCTCAATGCGGAATCCAGATGTCGGTCTCTTTCTCAGTGTAGACTCTGTGTGAGGTCTGTACGAGCCACTTGAGGGAGGGGCAGACTGGCGCATTTTCAGCCAGGGTGACCCACTGTTCCCCAGAGATGACAACGTTTCCTCAAGGCCTTTCATCTGGCCGCCCCCTCACCGTTTTAAAATTCACTCAGGATAATGACCACCTGGGGTGAAGGTCTGAGCAGGAGTATTTCTCACTGAATTTAGATAAATCCAGAACCCACTACAAGCCCCAGGAGGCCACCTCCCTCTCCCACTGGGGAGCTCCCCTCCCCGACTGAACTGGGCCACACCCTCTTTCAGTTCCTGGTTCCCCGCCTGCCCACAGGCCCAGCTGTCGCAGCTGGCCCCCAGGCACAGCCACCCTTCCTCTGGTTCTTCCCCTCTTCGCCTCCAACACACTCCTGGTTTAGATGCCACCTCCTCACAGAGTTCTCCCCGACTAGCCCACTCCACCCCCAAGCCTTGCCCCTCCTGCCTGATTACCCTCATAGGACCACGTTCTTTGCTCTCCCAGCACTTCTTACAGCTCGTAATTCTCCACCCACTTGTGTGACTGTCCATGCGCGGCTGTCTCCCGCCAGCCCGGAGCCTCCGTGGGCAGTGGGCACCTCTACCTTCTTTCCCATGGCACACCCAGCTCTTAGCGCAGGCCTGGCGCTGAGCGGGTGCTAAAGAAATGTTTGTTGAATAGGTGAATGAACTGTTATTGCAACGCTTTTTTCAACCCTGCCTCACTGGGGGATTCTGGATGTTCAGGAAGGGGCTGGTTGAAGGGAGCTGAAGGACCGCCATGGGCCACTTCAGCCACTGAGCACGGCTCTGGTGTTAGTGTCCCAGGGCTGCCTTGGCAACTGAGTGGTTTAAACAGCAGAAGTCGATCCTCTCGCAGTCCTGGAGACCAAGAGTCCGAAATCAGGTGTTGGCAGGGCCGTGCTCTGGCTGAAGGCTCTCCGGAGAATCTCTCCTTGCTTCTCCCCGGCCTCTGACGGTGGTCAGCCCTCTCTGACATTCCTTTGCTTGTGGCTCACCGCTTCAGCCTCCGCCTCTGTCTTCATGGGCCCTTCTCCTCCTGTGTCTCTTCTCTTCTTACAAGGACACCAGCCACACTGGGTTTAGGGCCTGTCCTACTCCAGTGTGACCTCATCCTGACTAACTGCATCTGCACCACCCCTGTTTCCAAATATGATTACGTTCTGAGGGTCAGGAAGGATGTGAACTTTCGGGGGACATTGCAGGTCTCCAGCTGATCTCTTCTGTCCAGTTTTTCTCACTTCCTGCCGATGTTCTGCTCCCTCCAGCCCCACCCCCCACCTCTCGTTGGGAAGGAGCCTGATAAACTGTCCTTGCTGAGATGTAAGTGGCAACAGGACTTTACAACCCGTTTAGGAAAGTGAAGTACCAGTTTCTGGGTGAATGGTGAAACGACCCTGCTCCCCTGCCCTCCCACCTTGTCCCCTCCCTCCTCACCCCTTCCCTGTTCTCTGATCTCATGAAGTCCAGAATCCCTGGTTAAGGTCAACAACGTCACAACTCCCAACCAACAAGGGGAGGACCCGCCGACCACGCCCCATCGCCCCTCGTGTTTTTCAGTGTGAAGTCACGTGACCTCGCACTTGGACGTGGGCATCCCCAGCTCACTGAGGCGTCCATCATGAGGACATGCAGTTACTTGGGTGGGCGTCAATGATTAAGACAGGCCGGGGCTTGGGGCTGACCCTCTGCAGCAGGCGCCGCCAAGGCCTGGGGAGGCAACGTGCGCCTCTCATGAGGGAATTTGTCTCTTCAGAAAGGGACAGAGGGATGACCCCAGTTATGGATGGGCAGTGGCACAAGACTACCCATTTGTTTATAAGACTACCTACAAACACTGGGGCTGTTTGCTGCCCTCGCATCAATTTCTGGAAGCTCCGGGTGTGTTAATTGGGTCCTCTGAGAGGCAAGGACCAAGATGAGATTAGACATGCAGGAGATCTATGGGGGAAAATGCCTGTAAAGGAGGATGGGAGGGGGAGGGTGGCAGTTGGAGGAACCCTCAGACAGAGATGCAGGTTGAGCCCTGTGAAGGAGAGAAGGAAGCAAGAAGGAAGGAAGGTCTTAGCTGCCTACAAGAGTCCTGAGGTCAAAGTTGCCTATTGGAGGAGCCCCACACCTCGCAGGAGTGGGCCTGCCTTAGTGTCGCTGCCACTCTCAGCCATGAGCAGGGAGCAGCCCACAGGAGGTGTGGCCTCAGCACACCTGGATTCAGAGGGTGTCTCTGGGCATCAGGCAGTTGTGCTTCCCTCCAGGAGGAGAGCAGAGGGCTGCTGGTGGGTCAAGGGGGCCAACAGTCCTTTCCCAGCCCTGCCATCAGCTTGGTCTCTATCGGGCTGAGAAGCCTGGGGTCTGGGGATCCCATCTAGGTCAGTTCCCAAGTGGGTGAGGACTGCAGGAGGGATGCGCCCTCCTCACCCAGGCCTCCCCACTCTCCTGGAGTGAAGGTCCCCCCGACAGCCAGCCCACAGCACGGGAGTTTCAGGGAGGCACTCTAACGTCAGTGAGGGCTGGACATCCTCAGAGGAAATCAAGCTATGAAATCGTTTTCAACACAAAAGCCCCATTTATTTTGACAAGAAAAAAAGTAGTGGCTCCAACCAGCGCTCAGATGAGGTGGGCGCCCTTGGCCTCCTGCTGTGTGTTATGGTCCATCCACAGCTCTCAGAGCGTGTGGAGCAAACCTTTTTCATGGTTTTGGGTTGTTTTTTCTACATGCTTAGAGGATTGTGAGCCTTTTGTACTTCTCAGTATTTCCCATTTTGAGTTCCCCATAGACTGGTTGTACCAAATTGATGGAGCATGACACATAGCTTTGGCCTTAGGGCTATATTTTTATCTCCTAATTGGTTGAGCCTTAAAGAAGGGGTGGAGAGTGGCTGTGAAGACGTCAGCAACGTGAAATCAAGCAGACTAAAATAAACAGGGCAGTCCTCCTTCCTGTCTGTGGGGCTCCAAGTGGCAGGTCACTTCTCCTCCCAGGTAGCAGATGGGGAACTGCTTCACACCAAGATCCTCAGTTCACAGTTTCTCTGGAAGCTTCCAGGGTTTTCCTCAGGCTGCACTCAAGCTGGGAGATGCCTCTTTCATAGCTCACACCCCAGCCATGAGGATTAATGAAAATGTCACAGGCACTTTTTTCTTTCTGATGTTGCTTTACAAATGTAGCACAAATGTCCTCGAGTCCTCTGGCCTTCTGGAGTCACTCACTTCTTTATTACCCAAATAAACTAGACCCAGCCCCCAATCCCATGAGCCTGGGGGAAGTCATGGCCCCTCCCCACTGACACTGCCCTGCCAATGACCTCCATGTCGCCAAGCCCACGGACACGGTTCCATTCTCCTCTGAATTTGATAAACATGCTCTTTGCTCTCCTCCCCTCCTACCTCCCCTGGTGGCTCACCTCAGCCTTCTTTTCTGGCTCTTCCCTCTCTGAACTCTTCAGCAGTTCGTCCTGGGCCCTCTCTTCTTCTCTGTCTACACCCCCTGCCCAGGTGAGCTCACTCAGCCCATGGCTTCACACCCCATTGACTACAAATCTAAGGTCCAGCCAGCCCTCTCTTCTGGCCACCCAGTGGGCTTCTTTGCTTCACCTCTTGATCTTCCCTCCAACTCAGTTTCTCTCCAAGTCTGCTCCATTTCAGTAATTGACCCAACACCTGTCGCCAACCCTGCCAGCTCCTCAAGTGGGAATCTTGGGAATTCTACTGGATTCTCCTGCTTTCTTCGTTTCCCACATCTCCATCCACAATCTCTGTCTGTCCCACCTCCCAGCCTCTTGAGTCCGTCCACTGTTTCCTGATGTCAGCCCATTGCCTCACTGGTACCACAACAGCCTCCTTACCTTCTCAGCCATCACATGACCGCTACCCTTGGCAGCCAACCCTGCTCCCTATTCTATTCTTAACATGGCAGCCGTGGCAATCTTGTCAGAGCTTAGCTCAGATCCTGTCATTCTTCTCCTTAACAATCTCCAATGGCAAACCCAGCAATGGGCCAGTGAGACACCCCCACCCCAGCCCTGCCTGCCTGGCACCCCGCTCTCCCAGTGCTCTCCTGCTCCAGCCACAGTGGCCTTGCTCTCCAGGAGCTGGGATATTGCCTTTCCCTCTGTGGGATTGCTCCTCCTCGGTATCTGAGTGCCTGGGTTTCTTCAAGCTACAGAGCTCCCTTCAAATATTACCTCCCTAAAAGGCTCCCTGAAAATTCCTGTGCTTTATTGTACAGAGATCTTTCATCTCCCCCGTACTTAATCTCCTCCTGTTAGACTATGAGTAATGTGAGTGTGTTAGCAGAACGGGCAGGCTGTGTATAACCAAAAGGCTAATTGATTATTTTCATCTGCTCTGAGGGCCGAACTGCCAGCAGTACAAAGAATTGGCTGAGCAATTAAATGACGCCTGTTCTCTGCAGCTTCACATGTCCCCCATCACGTTCTTGGGTGGAGCCCAAGGTCAGGGACATGTATGGCTGGTAATGGGACAGAGGCATGAAGCTATATGATAAAAGCCTTCTTGTTTTGCTCACTCTGCTTCGGCGGCCCAAGGTTCACAGGTTAAGTGCTAAGTGAAGTAAGTCAAACAGAGGAAGACAAATACTGTATGATCTCACTTATATGTGGAATCTAATAAAAACAAGGTCATAGATACAGAAAATTGATTTGTGGTTTACCAGAGGTGGGAGTTGAGGGGTGGGCAAAATGGGTGAAGGTGATCAAAAGGTACAAACTTCCAGTTATAAAATGAATAAGTCCTGGGGATGTAACGTACAGCATGGCGACTACAGTTAATAATACTGTATTGCATGTTTGAAAGTTGCTGAGAGAATAAATCATAAAAATTCTCATCACGAGAAAACATTTTATAATTTATATATGGTGATGGATGTTAACTAGACTTATCGTGGTGATCATTTTGCAATATATATAAAGATCGACTCATTGTGTTGGACACCTGAAACTAATATAATGTTGTATGTCAATTATACCTCCATAAAGATTTCAATAAGGAAATAGTTGTTACATAGAAATACATCATATATGTAAGTTGTGAAGCATAACACTAAAAATTGTATCCAAGAACCACCGCCCCATTTAAGAACTGGGATATTCTCTACGTTGTTGAAGCTCATGTGTTCCCCTCCCCAATGACACGAGGAGGTAACCAACATCTGAAGTTTATTATTTTTTTTTTATCATTCTCTTGCACTTCCTTATACTTTCGCTTGTTTCTGAACTTTATAAAAATAGTCTCTTGTGTAAGTAGTCTTCTGGGACATTAGGATGCGTCCATAATAATGCACAGAGCTGTAGTTCATAAAATGTGTGAATGGAATACAGGTCTTTTTGCCCAATCTACCATCAGTGGACTTTGGGGCTGTTTCCAGGATTCTGCTATTACTAACAATATTGCTATGAAAGTTCAGCACCTGCCCCTAGGGCATGTGTTTCTCAGGCCGTAGGAGTGGAGCAGCTGGGGTCAAGTCTAAGTTCATGCTCCACGAGGTGACTGGTTCCCAAGTGGTCCTGTGTGTACAGCCCCGGCGCTGAGCAGAGCCTTCCCTACTCCACCCTCGACAACACTTGCTGTCATTGGGCTTTGCAATCAGGGCCCATTTGGTGGGGTGTTTGGTGAGCGGCTTTTTCTTGCTATGTTCCAGTCCCAAAAGTGGGCCCAGGTTTAATTCCAGGGTGAGTCGGCTCCTGAGGCCGCCTTCCGGAGGTTGTTAGAGGGCTGAGGTGAGAGCAGGATCTTTGGTATTGAAAGGAGCTGTGTCTGCCGTCCAGCTCCGCCACAAACAGGCTATGCTACCTTAGAGCTTCAGGACCTCTTTGAGCTTCAGTTTCTGTGAAATGGGGACAGCTCCTAATGTGCGGGGCTGTTGACAACCCACTGAGGAAACTGTAAAGTGCCCAGCACAGTGGTACACACACATACATTCCTCATAGACACAAACACCAACACACACACAGACAAATCAAGACCCACACAGACACATCCCACCCACGGTAACCACCTGTCACCAACCCAGAGCCTGTCCCCATCCATATGCACACTTGGAGACACAAACACACAGAGTCAAATAATGGATTCCCCAGACATACACTCGTAGCCCTTACTTGAATACAGACACACACGCACACACACGCACACACACACACACACTAGCCAGCCTTTCCTCTCGAGTCCCTTCATCCCGCCCCCCTCTCTGGTTCTGTTCTATCTTCTCACTGGTCGTTTTGCCTCTCACAGGTCATTTCATCTCCAGATACTAGAACCATTATGTTTCGGCCCCTCCATAATCATCTCAGCACATCTGAATTACGGTAGCTTCAAGTATCTTTGTTTTTTGTTTTGTTTTATTTGTGATGGATCAAAAAGACTGCTGAAACAAAGAAAAGATCAACTGAGCAGAAACAAGCTTATATAGGAACATCCTTTATAGTTCTACTGTCAGAGAGGAGAGCTGTGTGACTTGGTCCGATTCAGTGACATGGTTGATCTGGGGCACATTTAAGTACAAGTGACAAGGTTGGGTTAGCAAAGGCTTTGCTAGGCCGGATCTCTGTACGTGGCCCTCAACAGATTGGATGCTGCCCACCACATTGGGAAGGACAATCTACTGAGTCCACTAATTTGAATGTGAATTTCATCCAGAAATACTCTCACAGACACACCCGGAAACAATGTCTAATCTAGGCAGCCTGTGGCCAGTCGAGCTGACACATAGACTTAACCATCACACTGTGTGATTCCATTTAATACATGAAAAACAGAAATACCCAAAATTAATCTGTGCTTTCGGAAGTCAAGAGGGTGGTTACCCTTGGGAAGGTGGTGATGGGTGAGAACACAAGGGGACTTCCAGGGTGCTGGGTGATGTTCTGTTTCTTGATCTGGATCCAGTTTACACAGAAATGTTCAGTTCATGAAAACCCATTATGCTATATGCTCTCTGTATGTCCTACTTCTATCAAAAGTTTTGAAAAGAAGGATGCACACAAAGACAGTCTTTTCAACAAATGGTGCTGGAACAACTGAACATCCACATGCAAAAAAATGAATCCAGACACAGACCTTACATCCTTCACAAAAATTAACTCGAAATGGATGATAGACCTAAATGCAAAATGCAAAACTATGAAACTCCTAGAAGATAACACAGGAGAAAATCTAGATGACATTGGGTATGGTGATGGCTTTTTAGATGCAGGAAAGAAATAACTGATAAACTAGATTTCTTTAAAATTAACAACTTCTGCTCTGCAAAGGACAATGTCAAGAGAATGAGAAGACAAGCCACAGACTGGGAGAAGATATTTGTAAAAGACACATCGGATAAAAGACTATTATCCAAAATATACAAAGAACTCTTGAAACTCAACAATAGGAAAAGGAACAACCTGATTTAAAAATGGGCATAAGTCCTGAACAAATACCCCAACAAAGATGGACAGATGGCAAGTAAGCGCGTGAAAAGATGCTCCACATCATGTGTCATCAGGGAAACGCACCTTAAAACAACAGTGAGACACCACTACATACCTGTTAGAATGGCCAAAGTCCAGAACACTGACAACACCAACTGCTGACAAGGATGGGGAGCAACAAGGACTCTCATTCTTTGCTAGTGGGAATGCAAAATGGTACTACTGTTTTGAAAGACAGTTTGGAAGTTTCTTATAAAACTAAACATATTCTTATCATACAATCCAGTGGTCTCAATCCTTGGGATTTACCCAAATGAACTGAAAACTTATGTCTACACAAAAACCTGCACACGGATGTTTATAGCAGCTTTATTCATAACTGCCAAAACTTGGAAGCAACCAAGAAGTCCTCAGTAGGTGAATGGATCAATAAACTGCGGTACATCCAGACAATGGCATATTATTCAACGCTAAAAAGCAATGAGCCATAAAGTCAGGAAAAGACATGGAAGAACTTAAATGTATGTTACTAAGTGAAAGAAGCCACTCTGAAAAGGCTACATATTATATGATTTCAATTATATGACATTCTGGAAAAGGCAAAACTATGAAGACAGTAAAAAGATCAGTGGTTGCCAGGGGGGCTGGGGGAGGACGGGATGAACAGGGGGAGCACAGAGGATTTTTAGGGCAGTGAAACTATTCTGTATGATACTATAATGGTGGATACGTGTCGTTATACATTTGTCAAAACCCACAGAAATGTACAATATCAAGAGTGAACCTTCATGTTAAACTATGGACTTTCAGTGCTAATGATGTGTCAACATAGGTTCATTGGGTGTAATAAATGTACCACTCTGGTGGGGGATGTTGATGGTGGAGGGGGCTCTGGGGGGGTGGGGGAGGAGATATCTGAGTAATCTCTGTGCTTTCTGCTCAATTTTGCCATGAAACTCAAAACTGTACTTTTGACAACACAAAAGTATACTTTCCACTCAGTTTAAAACTGCTCTAAAAAGTAAAGTTCATTAATTAAAAAAAGGACATGTGGCTATTACCTTCAGCCTGCACCCAGTGGAGATCAATTCCTAAGTAGGAAATTCATGGATTCACAAACTTAGGTGCAGACAGGACCTCAGACGTCACTCAGAAATCACTCAAGGCAACAAGCAGACTCCCAGAGAGCAAATCCCAATGCCTCTACTTACCAGCTGTGTGCCCTTGGGCAATTTACTGAACTTCTGGGAGCCTCTGTTTCTCTGTCTGTAAAATGGAAGTAATATGGAATTTATCTCAGAGAGTCATTATGAGGATTAAATAAGATAATTTATGGCAAACAGTCAGTGCTCCATAAATGTCAGCTATTATTAGCATTATTACCATCCAGTAGAATATTCATTCATTCATTCAACAGTAATGAACTGAGCAGTGTGCAAGGTACGAGGATGAACAAGGCCGACCTGGTCCCTGCCCTCACAGAGCTTGTAGTCTAGTCCCACCTCCCTCCGGGCACACACTGGTATTGGAAACAGAAGACGTGCTTCCCATTCGGGCTTTGCAGACAAGCATCTGCTGATACACACACACTGGAAGCAGCCCCAGGGGCTTCAGCAGCCGAGGAATCGCTCAGATGATTTTGTTATGAGAGGTGGGGTGGCACAGAGCCGCGCTGCCGGGGTGCCAATCCCGATCCACTGCCTCCTCACTGTGGAACTTTAGGCGGGTTCCTTACCTCCCCTGTGCCTCAGTTTCCTCATCTGTGTAAAGGAGTGGATAACAGAACCTATCTCACGTGTTGTTAGGAGGATGGAACCCTGTAACACAGGGAGAGTGCAGAGAGTGGTGCTGGGCACAGAGTAGGTGCTGTGACGTGTCCGCCATCACTATTCTTGTTATGACTCATCAGCGGTTCTGACGCTGACCCCAGCCAGATGGTAACCAGGGGAAAGCAAAGCAGACCTTGGTGTCGATGAAGAAATCCAGGTGACCAAGTCGTCTCAGCTGCACAGAGGAGTTCTGGAGAATGTGCTCACCTCCTAGGTGTTTATCCCACGGATATGCTTGCACAGGTGTGAAATGGTTTATAAGTCATCCACTGCTGTGGCATCGGTAATAGCTAAAACATGGAGGCAGCCTAGACATCTGTGAATAGGGGACTGGTTAAAAAAATCCATGACTCACCCGGAGAGAGAAATATTAGCCCTCAAAAAGAACAAGGCAGCTGCATGTGAAATGATGTGAAAAGATTATCGTTAAGTGCAAAATGCAAGGGGCAGTGCAGCTTGACTTTCTGTGTTAAAAAAAAGAAGTGTGCGTGCCCACGTACTTTGGTAACAGGATGGTGGTTGTCTCTGGAGGGAGCACCGCTTGCCTGGGGCTCAGGGGCGGGAGGAACATGTTCTTTTCACTCTGTGCTCCTCGCACCTTTTGCATTGGAAGTCCTATACACATATTACTTACTTTAAAAAAAGATTAAGCAGATATTGGAGCTGATTTAGAAATCAGCACTCTAGTTCACTGTGTCCTGTGAGACACCTCTCGCTGCTCTCTGAGCAGATGGCCCTGGGCGGGGTTGGGCCAGGGCCAGCGGGCAGCCTCCCTCCCCCGTGGGTGTGTGGGGAGCCACGTGGGGCCCTGTGGTCGGGCACATGCCTCCAGCTGGGTCTTCCTGTGTGGTGGAAGGCCCGGGGTGCGGAACTGAGACTGGGGAAGAGTGGGCTCCAGCAGCCTGACAGAGGCTGCACACACAGGGGAAGGTCGTGGTCCTAAGATCTGAGTCTGGTCTGGGCAGCTCTCCAGGGCAGACAATCACGAGACAAAGGCTCATTATGAGAGCCAGGAAAGGGCCTTCCATCACAGCTGCTTCTCTCCATTCACGGGGCAATTCCACAGCGAAACTTGGGGCCAGAGCAGCCCGAGGTTCAGGAAACAGATTCGGAGGGGCCAGGGTTTCCTGGCCTGCTCTGGGCATCAGCGGGGTGGAAAGAGCCCAAAGGAACTGAGTTCTTAATTCTCCATCCATCTGCTCAGCTGAAATATAAAGATTCTTTTCAGAGCTCTCCCCGGAGTGGCTCTCCAGCTTTGGGACACACACAGCATTGTGTGCAGGGACATTCCCCGGAGCCAAGCAAAAGTGACAGAAAGGCCCTTTCAGTTAACTGCAAAATAAGCAGGGCTCTGTCCAAAGACAGGGACCCTTTGCCTCACGGGCCCCCTGGTAATTCACAGGGTGTCAGAGCACCGTTTATTGCTTATAGTCTATTGGATTAGGGTTTTTCAAATGCCTTTTAGTCAACAATTCTTTATACACACCTATGCATGCGAACAGATATTCTTAAGTCAAATATCCCTTATGTATTCAAACACACATGCACACATATTTATTTGTAGTCACAGCTCTGACTAGCAAGATAATCAATACACGAGGTAGACCAAATATTTGGTACAAGGTAATCAGACGAGACCTGTAGAAGGTTTGCAGTGGCATACAAAGCTGCAAGAGTGATAATGCAGCCTCTTTTCTTTGTTTCTCCAAATCTGGGTCACCGTTAAGTTCAATTAATTCTTTCCACCTATAGATAGCAACACCTGTACTCCCTTTTCTGATGGGACTCATTCATTCATTTACCAAGCATTTGGAGGGGGTCCTACCGTGTGCCAGGCACCATTCCAGGTTTCTGGGATATGGCAATGAGCAAAATGGTCAACGAACCCTGGCCTGGTGAGGTTTGCATCCTAGTGAGGAGACAGGCGTTCAGGTGGTGTCAGGTAGGGGCAGGGATGGAGAGAAGGGAGCTAAGAAGGACTTCCTGGGGAAGTGACCACTGAAGTTCAGCCCAGAGGGTTATAAGCCAGAGAGTCACATGGAGATCTGGGGGAGCAGATTCCAGGCAGGAGAAACGGCAACTCCCTCACCCACTCTAGTTACCTGCACTCACTTGGCAAAAGCCAGCCCTGGTTAGACCCAATTCCCCAGCTACTCCACACCCACATCTGTGCAGCTGAACCCCATCTAGAGAAAAACATGCCACTGTGTTGGCTGGCCTCATGGAAATTCACGCCCAGAATCTCAAGGTGGGAGGTTGTGGGGTAGAAGTGCAGGGGGCCTTCATGCTTTCTTCACGTCATGCTTCTCTGGGCCATTCACCCTCTCATTCCCCTAGGTGGCTCGTCCCAACAGCAATTCCCCTGGCCTCACTCTCATTACTTCCTGTTTCATGAGAAAATTAATCAGAAGACCTACCTGCCACTCCAAGAATCCAACACCTATGTACTTACCTCCCTGATTCTTGCCCAGATCCTTCCTCCCTATTACCATGGATGGAATGTGCAACGGAGCCCAGCCCCTGTCTGCTCCTCAGGCATGCCGCTCCAAAAACTCGCTTCTCTCCCTCTCTCCTACATTAGCAATACTCCTCTCCACAAATTCCACCTCACTGGGTCGTTCCCAGCAGCATGGAATCATGCCATACCATCTCCCATATTTAAAAAAAATCTAAAAACCCTCTCTTGATGGCACTTTTCCCTTATTCCACTTTACCCAACAAAACTCCTGGAAAGAGTTGTTTAGATGGCTGTCTCCAACATCTCTCCTTGCATTTGCTCTTCAAGTCTTTTCTCAGATGTTACTTTCTCAGTGAGACCTCCTCTGACCATTGCATTTAAATTGCATGCCCTCCTTAAGGCCTCCTCCCGGCTTCATTTTTCTCCATAGCTCTCATCACTTTCTAACATACTCTATGAGGCATGGCTCTATTTTGTTTATTGTCTACCCCCCAACCCCCGGGATGCAAAGTCCAAATAACACATGGATGTCTGTCTAGTCTGTTCACTGCCGCATCCCCAACATCTGGATAAAGGGCCCAGGGGGTCACAGGTGCCTGGTCATGTTTATTCAGTGAGTGAATGAATGCATGGGAGGGGCAAGGCCAGGAACAGCGAGGAAGCAGTGTGGCTGGAGTGGAGTAAGAAGGGGAGACAAAGGGCAGTAAGAGGGTAGAGGTGGCAAGAAGCCTGATCACATAGGGTCAAGGAGAGTGTCTTACTCTAAGTGTAAGTGGAGATGTGGTTCTGGATGCTGCTGGAGGGTTTGGAGCTGGGAAGGGACATGATCTGATTGATGTTACTGAGATTCTGGGCAAGTCAAGTTGAAAATTCCACATTGCACGAGTGTGTTCCTGACAGGCAATTTTTACATCCACGTGCTCATGAAAATAGACTTCCAGACTAAAGGAGAGCTGTGTGTTGATAACGGCTCCTGTTATATGAGCAGGGCTGTGGGAAATGTGCACTGCTTGGAACGGCTTTACTGGTAAAATGGAACACAGAACATTTCTCACCCAGCAAAGCAAAACATTATTGGCAAAAACACATGAAAAGATGTTCAGCATCACTAATCATCAGGGAAATGCAAATCAAAACTACACTAAGATACCACCTTACGCCTGTTAAAATGGCTATAATCACTAAGACTAAAAATAACAAATGTTGGAGAGGGTGTGGAGAGAAGGGAACCCTCATACACTGCTGGTGGGAATGCAAACAGGTGCGGCGACTGTGGAAAACAGTATGGAGATTCCTCAAAAAACTGAAAATAGAACTACCATATGACCCAGGTAACCCACTACTGCATATATATCCAAACAACTCGAAATCAACAATCCAAAGTAACATATGCACCCCTGTGTTCATTTCAGCACTATTCATAATAGCCAAGACACAGAAACTATCCAAGTGGCCATCGACTGGTGATTGGATAAAGAAGATGTGGTATATATACACAATGGAATACTGCTCAGCCAGAAGAAAGACAAAATCATCCCATTTGCAACAACATGGATGGACCTAGAGGGAATTATGCCTGGAGTGAAATAAGCCAGACTGAGAAAGACAGACACCAAATGATTTCACTCATATGTGTAATATAAACAAGCACATGGACAAAGAAAAGAGTTCAGTGGTTACCAGGGGAAGGGGGTGGGGGGTGGGTACAGGGGGTGAAGGGCAGCACTTATGTGGTGACAGACAAGAAATAATGTACAACTGAAATTTCACGATGATGTAAACTATTATGAGCTCAAATAAAAAACAAACAAAAAACAAAAAAAATTATTGGTAAATACTTAAGCAAAACCATCCATGCTCTGCTTACTTATTGATAAAAATATTTAGCTCTTCTGTATTTTTGCTTTTTAAACAACTGATTGCAGTATTAACACATTTTTTGAGATATTAATCAACAGATGTTTCCAAGCACATGGAACAGACAAAACCGGCCTGTATTAAATACCCATGGCTGGGATTTTAAATGTTGGGCACAGAATTTGAAAGCATCTCTGCCCCCTAAGTATTAAACACAGCAGTAAAACATCTGGTAGTCTCCTGGCCATGTCTAGCATTTCTAAGTACCCTTTCACAGGGATCTGTTATGTGGTTTGATGCTTATGGGATGCATTCTTATAAGCTGTTCTGTAAAGGTGTAAGGTGCGCCACTGACTAAGAGGGGACAACCCAGTTTGGTCAGGAAATATGTGGGTTGTGGGTTCAGGTGTACGTGTCTAGTTGGTAGAGATGGCACAGCTGCTTCTAGAACTGCTGTGGGAGTGGGGAGTAAAGTTTGTAGATTCTGAGCACTCCAGGCAAGCCAAGATGGGAGGAGAGGCAGGAGGGGAACAAAGATGATGGGCCAAGGTGGCTGCCAAGCTAGGAGGAAGAGAGAAGACTGATTTACAAGAGGCCTTGGCTGGGGTCTGTGGCTCCTGCACCAGAGTCCCAGCCGTTAGAACTGAACACCCAGGAAGCTGGCTCTGGCCTTGCTAGACTGCACAGGGATGGCCTCGTCCCAGTGCTTTGTGGGCTCCATCCCCGATACTCGGGGGTCAGGCAAAGTGAGCCAAAGCTTCCAGTCCGATAGATGTCCTCATGACTGTGTGCACCAAGGGTCACTGCCACAGTGTCCTGGGGAAGCATGGGACTTAGGACTTTAGACCAGCGGTTCTCAAGTGCGGTCCTTGAACTAGCAGCATCAATATCACTTGGGAACTTGTTAGAGAGGCAAATTGTTAACCCCCCCTGCCCCCCACCCAGCCAGAGCTGCTGAATCAGAGACCTGGAGTAGGTCCCAGCACCCAGCATTTTAATAAGCTCCCTAAGGAATTCTGATGTGTGTTCAAGTTCGGGAACCACTGATTTAGACCAGTTTCAGGTGATGCTGATGCTGCTGGCTCCAGGACCATACTTTGAGAGCCATCATTCTAGAAATTTCATAAGCAAATCACTCAGTTTATGAGTAAATGTTGTTATTAATGAACAAGTCTTACTGAATACCTAAGGGCTGTTTAATAATGATTACCTCTGAACAAGGGGATTGTGGGCAATTTTTAAAAAGTTTATGTATCTCTGTATTGTTCAAAGTTGTCAGAAACATGTATTACTTTTATAGATAAGAAAATTTAAAGGTTTGGGGCCAGCCCAGTGGCATAGTGGTTAAGTTCGTGTGCTCCGCTTCGGTGGCCCACGGTTCAGGGGTTCAGAGCCCAGGAGTGGACATACGCACCGCTCATCAAGCCATGCTGTGGTGGCATCCCACATACAAAATAGAGGAAGACTGGCACAGATGTTAGCTCAGCAACAATCTTCCTCCAGCAAAAAGAGGAAGATTGGCAACAGATGTTAGCTCAGGCCAATCTTCCTCATCAAAAAACAACCACAAAAAAAACCCCAAGATTTTTTAAAAGTACCTCATTCTAGTATAGTTCTTTACAGCAGTGATTCTCAAACTGTGTTGTCAAACAAACCATCCAGGAACCTTGTTAAACGTAGATTCTGGTTCAGTCGGTGGGGGGAGAGCGGTGTGTGCATGAGAGTCTACATTTTCAACAAGCTCTCTGGTGATTCCAGTCTACTGGCCCATGAACCACACTGAGTTTACAGAATTTACAGAATACAAAGCACTTTCATGTATATTATCTTGTTTGTTCCTTGTCATAACCCTGGCAGACAGATTCACTAATTCACCACTCAACCATTAGGTACTACTATGTACCAGGCCCTGGGCATACAGATATGGTCTAATGGGGTGGAAAACCAAGCAACCACCAAAAAAAAACACTTGAAAACAGACAAATGATTATAGTGATCAGAACTGATCAGGAAATAAAGAGGGTGCTGAAAAAGAAGGCCTCTAGGAGGAAGTGATTTCAGTAGAGATGGGCAGGAACAGCCACGAAGTTCAAGGGCAGGCTCTGGGCAGACACCAGGAGGCTCCCGCAGCCAGAGCCGAGGGAGAGAAGACCCCCAAATCACGTTGGAGAAGGCAGAGGCTCCCCCACCCACCCTGGGCAGGAAGTCCGGGGTCCGCATTGAGGGTCTAAGCAGGGAAGTGACTGGCCTGGTATTTGTCTTAGGATCACTCTGGCTGCATTGTGGTAAATGAAACCTCTCCAGGGTCACCTTGGAGTTGGTGCAGGAAGCGCCGGGCCATGCGGGGGAACCCAGGAGTCAGGCCGCCGCCCCCGGGGTCGCGCGGACCGACTTGGGGGGTCAGGAATCCCCCATATGAATAACGAGCCACCAGGACACGTGTTTTTATTGGTGCACTGAAGATCTTAAACGCGCGCGCTCCGGGAACAACGTGATTTTTTCCTTTTCCCCTCTTTCAGAGGCCCTGGGCTCCCACGTTGGCATCTTGGACACTTCCCTTTCTGTGTCTTAGTCTCCTCTCCTGTCAAAGAGGACGTTGGGCCAGCCCATGGGTGACACCTGGATCTCCAATCGTGAACCTCGGGCAAGCTGGGCGGCTGGCACCGCCGAGCAAAGGCGGCCTCGAGCGGCCCATGGGGTTGGCTTCCCTCCTGGGAAACTGAGGCACGGTGGGGCGAGGAGTGCGCGCCCTCGAGACTCCCGCCAACTCCAAGAGGCACGTCCCGGGCCCACGCAGGCCTCCCGGGCCGCCCGCCAGCGATCCCAGCGCAGCAGCCCCCGCCCAGCGCTGCCCAGGGGCGGGGCCGGCTCGGAGGACCGAGCGGCCCGGGACTCGCGGGGGCCGGCGGTGGAGCGGCGGAGCCCCGCGCAGTCCCAGTTCTCGAGCTCTGGAAGAGGCGTGCGGGCCACTCCTCCAGGCTCCCCAGCCCGGCCGGGGGTGGGGGGGCCACGCAGCAGGCGCAGGCCTGCCCCGGGGCTCCCGCCCGCCGCCCGCCCGCGCGCCGACCCCGCCCCTCGGCCGCCGCCTCCGCCCCCGCCTCCGCCCCCGCCCCCGCCTCCTCGCAGGCCCGGGACGTGCCCGGCCGGCGACCGAGCGGCGGGGACGGCGTCCGGCGCGCTCACTTCCGCGTCCCGCCGCCCTGCGGGCCGCGCGCGCCCAGCCACCGCTGCCATCGGACAATAGGTCGCCCGCCCCGGCTGCCGGGAGCTTCCTGCCGCGGCCCGGCCGGCCCGTGCGCCCCGGGCCGCGCTCCCTCCCCGCGCCGGCCGGGATCCCAGCTCCGCGGGCGCCGGGGGCAGCAGCGGAGGACTGAGCGCCCGGGACGTGCCTGCGCCCGGCGCCGCTGCTTCTCTGCTCCGGCCGGGGGGTCGGCGGCCTCCACAGCCCGGCAGAGCCGGCTTCGCCGCCTTGTTGTGGGTTTCCGAGTTTGGTCGCTTAAGGAGGATGTGATTTTTTTTTTTTCTATTTCTTTTTCCTTTTATGATTTGAAAAAGAGAAGAGAACGCACAGCAACCTGGGACAGCGAAGCGCCACCAGCTGCCCCCACGTGGACACCTCCGAGGGGAAAGGGAGTTGGAAGCAAACTTGGTCCGACTGGCCCGGAGGCCTCAATTTCGGCTGGACCCTTTGGCCTGGGGTCATGACTCTCATGCTGGGCAAGTGGAAGGCTTTACCTGTCTCCGGCTGGACTTGAGCCCCTACCCTTCGCCAGCATCTCCCCCCCACGCTCCCACGCACCCTCACGCCTGGCACCTGGACTAAGCCCAGACACCCATCTGAGACATGGATAAGTACGACGACCTGGGCCTGGAGGCCAGTAAATTCATTGAGGACCTGAACATGTATGAGGCTTCCAAGGATGGACTCTTCCGAGTGGACAAGGGGGCAGGCAACAACCCGGAGTTTGAGGAAACACGCAGGGTGTTTGCCACCAAGATGGCCAAAATCCACCTCCAGCAGCAGCAACAGCTCTTGCAGGAGGAGACCCTGCCCAGGGCGAGCCGAGGCCCTGTCAACGGTGGGGGCCGCCTGGGCCCACAGGCCCACCGGGAAGCTGCTGTGGGCAGCAAACTGACCATGGATGGTGCTGCCAAGCCCCCTCTTGCTGCCCCGACAGTGGGTCCTGGAGCAGCCACCACCATTGCCGCTGGGCAGCCCATGTACCCACCCCAGGAGCAGAGGGCCAGGCCATATGTCCGTGCCACGAGGCATGGCACCCAGGACTGTGGTTCCAGGGAGAGCCTGGAGAGTTCTGAGCCTGCTTTCCACCGCCTGGGACCCTGCCAGGATCCTTCCTGCCTCACCCATGGAGATTATTATGACAACCTCTCCTTGGCAAGCTCAAAGTGGGGTGATGAACCAGGAATGTCCCCCATCGTCAAGCTGGGTGTAGGGAGTGGGTGGCCTGGTCCCCCAGGGAGTGGCCCACCACTGCCCAAACCCTCCAGGGACCATCACCTGTACCAGCCGCAGCTCTCCCCGAGCTCCAGCAGGTCATTTGAGAGCAGCCAGGATGGTGGTGCTGGTGGCCGCAGCAATGAGAAGCCAGCAGGTCTCTGGACCACTGCTTCCTCCCAGCGGGTGAGCCCTGGCCGTCCTTCCCCAGGCCTGGAGAACGGGGCCCTCCTGGGGCCCCCTCAGCCCAAGACCCCTTCTTTCTCAGCACCCCTGGCCCTGAACTGCCCCAGTCAAGGAGCTCTTCCAAGAACAAACTCGGGGGTGGGGAGCGAGGTTTCAGGCATGATGCCCAAACCCACTGTGGACTCTCAATCCTGGTTCCAGGATGGTCCCAAATCTTACCTTCCGAGTTCTGCCCCATCATCGTCGCCAGCCAACACGGACAGTTTGCATTCGGGTGTGGCTCCTGGGCTGGGTCCTAAGCCTGGCTGCACAGACCCTGGCGGTGGTCCCAAGCTCAGCCCCACCAGCCTTGTCCATCCAGTGATGTCCACCCCACCTGAGTTATCTTGTAAAGAAGGTCCTCCTGGCTGGTCCCCTGATGGCAGCCCGGGGCCTGTGCTCCCAGAGAGCCCCAGCACCCCCAGGGTGAGGCTACCCTGCCAGACCCTCATCCCGGGCCCTGAGCTTGGGCCCTCGGCCGCTGAATTGAAATTAGAAGCCCTCACCCAACGTCTGGAGCGTGAGATGGATGCTCACCCGAAGGCCGATTACTTTGGTGAGTGAGAGGCTGGTGGCGTTGCCCACGGTGGGTGACAGGGTCCCTGCCTTTGGGGGAAGTGCTCCCTGTCAGAGATGATGCAGCGCTCATTGAGTGACCTGCCTTTTTTTTGGCTTCCTCTTTTGGCTGCTGCTTCTGATTCAGAAACTTGAAAGCATCCCTGGGCAGAAAGTGGATCTCACAGCTGGGGGTTGCCCATGTGTGAAGGGTGAAGCAGGGTGGGGTTGCTCATGACTCTCAGGAAGGGAAGTGCTCTGACTCTGGATTTCAAGGGTTTCGGGGGTGCCGTAGAGCCTCTCGCACTGACTGGCTCCTGCAGGACTTGAATGGGAGCAGCTTCTCAGGTCCAGGTACCCCTGAGCACCCCATCAGCAGTTGACTGGGTCAGGCAGGTCTGCCTGTTAGAGGACCAGTGGTCGGGCAGAGGCTCTCTACGGCCCTGTGTGTGTCTGCAGGTACTGTGTGCAGTCGAGGCAGGTGAAACTTGGACCTGTAAGACTGTTCTAGAGCAGTGATTCTCAAAGTCTAGTCTCTGCATCAGCAGCATCCCTTGTCTGGGTACTGGTGGGAAATGCAAATTATAGGGCCCCACCCAGACCCACCGCGTCAGAAACTCTGCTCAGGGGGTTGTCAGACATGGCAGTCAGCGTTTTCACTAGCCAGCCGGGTGACCCTGACATTCAGGACTTTTGAGACCTGTGCACTAGGTGCCTCCTAACTGGGTCCCCATCCCGGGGTTACACCCACCACTGGGGCTCAGTAGGATGGAAGATGCTCCTTGCTGGTTTCACTCAAACTTGCAGATTTGTTTTATTCTCTTTTTAAAACCACAGACTCTTGGAGACTGCTGGCTTCAGCTCTTTTTTTTTCCCCTCCACATGGGGTTTGGAGGCAGCAAGAAGGCAGACACCTTCTTCTGTGGAGTAATGATATAGCCGTCTCATGAAAGAGCTGACTAGAAAGACAACCTAAGTTTAAGGGTCGTTTTTGTTGTTTTTCATTTTTGAACTCTGGATAACGGGGTCGTGATTTCCCCATATGAGGCCTGAGAGCCCTGGGAAGCTGAGTCCCAGTGGGGTGGCAGCTTTGAATGAACGATTCTGTCCCAGGTTCTTGGAGGGATGGGTCCGACGTGCCCATGGTAGCATTGGGTTGGTGATCGTCCTCAGAGCCTCCTGGGACCATTTCCCACAAACACGGGGCAGTCAGAGGCCGGCGACTGTTTATTAGTTTGTATTTTAGAGCACGTAGCACCGTCTTACTGTGGACTGTGTCTTCTCCTTTGCAAATTCCCACCCTTTGGGAATAATACTTAGCTGGAAGTACTGTGGATTTTAAATGGAAACTTTTGCTTAATTTTTAATTTCAAGTCCAAAACAGCAATTTTATTTTTTCAGGGAGGCGAGTTTACACACCGGATCGCAGCAGAGACATTAGCTGACACTGTTCATACATTCGTTCAGCATGTGTATATGGAGTGCCTGCCTTGGGCCCTGCTCTGTCCAAGGCCTTGGGGAGCATGGTGATCAGGACAGACAGTCCTCGACCTCCCCAGAGCAGACAGTGAAGTAGGAGACAGGAGACGAGCTAAATAAATAAGCACGTTCTAGGGAGGGAAATAGGTAGAGGAGGGGCTGGAGTGGAGGGGTAGGAGGCGTCAGGGAGGGTTTTGGTTTTAAACCAGGCGCTCAGGGAAGATCCCACGGAGAAGGTGGCGTTTGAGCAAAGGCTGAAGGAGGCGAGGGGGTGGAAGGGGTGTGCTCAGCGGGCAGACAGCAAGAGCAGAGGTCCTGTGCTGGACACTTAACTTCGACTGTTTAATTTACTCGTCGCAGCAACCCTAGGAAGCAGGTTCTGTCGTGATGCTGTTTCACTGATGAGAAGCCCAGGGAGGTTAGATTACTCCCCTGAGGCCCCGCGGTGGCGCTGGGGGAGCTGGATTGCCTACGGCTGAGCCTCCATGCTTCTAACCAACGTTGCCAGGCTGCCTCCCAAGCACAGATGTGGAAACCGATTTTATTTATTTTTATGGCTTTGTTTTTTTTTAATTGAGGTGAACTTTACATAAAGTAAAGTTAACCGTTTTAAAGCAGACAATTCAGTGGCATTTAGTACATTCACAGTGTTTTGGAAACCCCAACTCTAATAATTCCAAGACGTTTTCATCACCTCGAAAGGAAACCCCGTACCCGTAAAGCCGTTGCTCCCCATTTCCCTCTCTCTCCCTGCCCCTGGAAACCACCAATCTGTGTTCTGTCTCTGTGGATTTACCTAGTCCGGATATTTCATCTAAAGGGAATCATTTTTTATTTATTTTTTAACTAAGTATTACATTCTCATGTTGACAATTCAAAAGATGCAAAAACACATAGTTATGTGGCCCTTCACAATGGGGACACGTTCTGAGAAATGCGTCATTAGGTGATTTTGTCGTTGTGCAAACATAGAGTGTACTTACACAAACCTAGATGGTGTCACCTACCACACCCCTAGGCTATGCGGTGCCAATCCTAACGGGACCACCGTCGTACACACAGTCTGTTGACTGAAACGTGGTTATGTGGTGCGTGACTGGACAGTGAACAGTCCCCTTCCCACCTGCGTCTCTGGTCGAGTGTCCTGGGTACAATGTGACTTACGTGTGCAGTCACAGTCGTGGCATGCTGGCTACCTGCTCTCTGCCTTTTCCACTGCACAGTGTGTCTTGGCAGTTGTCCTACATCAGCACGTGTTGAGTTGGCTCAGTGTCACCACTGTGTGCATGTGCCCCAGGTCACGTAAGCAGCCCTCGTGGTGGCCCTTTAGAAGGGGCCATCTGCAAGGTGTAAGCCGCGCTGTAGGATCATCTCCCAGGGTGGGACTGTGGGGTTGGGGGCTTTGTGCCCTTTAACTGTTCCTGGTTGCTCTCTGTGGAGCTCGTGCTGGGCCCGCACTGCCAACCGTGTAGGAGAGGGCCTGCCCCAAGCCTGCCATGCCAGCCGAGCTTCCATTCACTCTCCTGTGCCCAGCCTCGGGGCAGAGGAGGAAGTCTCTTGTGTGAGATCGGGCACTCAGTTCCTGGCCTAGGCCTGCTGTGGGACCCTGAACAGACCCTGCTGTCTTCCAGGTCTCCCCCCTCATCTGTAGTGCGAGGTGGCTGAACCCGCTGACAGGCTCACCGAGCAGATGCCTTTCCCTTCCCTAGATCTGGTGTTATTTGAAAGATTTTGTCTGTCTGACACACGACATTTGTTAAATAATGATTAAATTTTGCTTCCAAGTAGAAGACTATTTGCTGATCCAGGGCTCTTGCCAGAGTGAGTCAGGGATGTATACTGTCACTGTCAGAGTTGGGGTAATTCTAGCCAGAAGCAAAGCAAAGTGGATGTTTGGTTACATAGGCCCTTTCCTGGGTCAGACAAAGGCCTCCCTGTGGGTATTTGACATTGTGGAAGAGCTCAAGAATCCCTGCTATCGCCTTGGAGAACACATGTCTGAAGACGCCTTGGTTTCCTTTTACTGATCAGCTCATCACCGAGGACTCTTCTGGCACTTTCCATGGCCATCTTTGTGGGTTTGGTACTGAGCCCACACTCCCTTCGCCAGTGTTCCTCTCTGTGTCTTTCTGTCCATGAGGAAAGAGTTAAGGACAAACTCTTGATGCTGCGTGGAGAACGTTGTTGGGTTTCCCGCCTTCCCAGGCCTCACTCTTGGACAACGCTGCTCCATGTGGTGTGGCTTCTGTTGTTTTTTTTTTTCCTTCTTCTCCTCAAAGCCCCCAGGATATAGTATATTCTAGTCTTAGGTCCTTCTAGTTGTGCTGTGTGGGATGCCGCCTCAGCATGGCCTGATGAGCTGTGCCATATCCGTGCCCGGGATCCGAACCAGGGAAACAGAGCATGTGGCCTTAACCACTTAGCCGCAGGGCTGGCCCTGTGGCTTCTGTTTTAACACCACTGTTTACACTGAGAGGAAACGAAGAGGACATCGTGCCTTTTGTTTAATCTTTCTCGGCCTTTTCCTCCATGGTATCCATTTGTCTTCCTCACTCTGGGCCTCTTCTTCCTTTCTAAGGAAAAAGGACACGAATAGACCACCTGTCACAGCCTGGGTCTCCCGGGAAGCTGACTCTGAGATGAGTTAGTGTGCAGGGGTCTTATTAGGGACCCATACCTGCAGAGGGAGGGGAAGGAAGCAGGAGTGGACAGAGGAGAGCTCCAGCTGCAGTGCGGCCTGACCAGCCTGGACCCCCCCGAGGGAACTCAGGAACTGGAGAAGCCCCTCAGAGTTCTCCCGAGTCGTGGCGAGATGCCTGGCCTTCATGCTCCTCTGTGGATCAGTCATCAGATGTGGGCTGCCCTGGGAGGGGGTGCCCTGGGGCGAGGTGGCCCTGTGCAGCTGGGGCAGTGCCCAAAGGGGTTGACAGGTCTGGGCCGTCTCCTGGCTGCACCCCAGCAGCTGGGCTACAGCTCCTTCAGGGAAGGGAGGTTGGGTGGCACACTGTGGTGGCCATCGCAGCCCCTGTTGCTGGGCAGATATACCCCATTCACATGCCCCTGGGCACCGTGAGTCTAATGCTATCGACTCTTGAGTGCCTGTGGCATGCCAGGCATTGGGTACGTGTTTTGTGGGCTGTGCTGTCATTTAACCCTCACAGCCAGACACGGTTATTCTCTGTTTCCAGTTGAGGAACCGAGCCCGTGAGTTGCTCAGGACCACACAGGCGTAGGCGGTGGTGCTTCCACAGCATCTGGGGCTCTGACCCCTCACACGGTGGGACGAGGTGGTCTTTCAGGTCCGAGGTGGGGCTCTCTGTGTGCCCCTCTGGATTCTCTCTCCATTCAGGTGCTGTAGGGGCATCAGCAGCCTTCCCTGCCTTTTCCGGATCTTCTTGCCCCACGTTCAGGACTCTGGACCTGTAGCCCCCTGTGCCTTCCCTCCCGCTGTGTGTGGGTCTGGGGTTCGGTCACTGCTAATGGCAACACTCTGCCCCAGAGGGGAGAAGGCTCTGCCAGACT